GAGCTGACTAGTCAAGCAACAAAGCACTTCTATAACTATCTGACTATCTGACTATCCATCTATCTATCAAGGCTCAAACGGCACAATGTGGAGCCTGTTTACTGGCGGGCCGAATACTGGAAGACGACGACGCGATCCGACACCGTTGTCCATATTACCTTGAGCCATCGTGCTATCGTACCGTGAATTAGGAGCGTTCGTCTGTTCGCATCTTTCGCTCGACATGAGCGGCTTACCAAGGAGCCGACCGAACAGTTAATCAAGCAAACCATGGAAAACGCTCGATATTCGTCGACCTTGAATAAACATCATCTAACTTGATAACAACAGCGAACTGGCGGGAGGGTCCGAAGAGCGCCGTATCTTCGCCGTCGCTAGGACGGCGAACCGGGGAGGGAACCCCTTCCGTACTTACGTATGGGTGACCGACCGCTCTACGAATCTCATGGCCCGAATCCTTCCGAGGTACCACCAACAGCTAGTTCATGAAAAAAGGCAGTCAACCAGGTATATTTTGAGAGAAATCAACTCATGGCGACTCACGACACCGCACTCCGATTGTTCTTCTTCACTCTATACGGAGTGCAAACGTCCTTCGCATTTTACATGAAGTTGTCGAAATCGGTCCCGAACGCTGTTTTCCCCATTGAGATAGTCGGGGTATTGGAATTCAAAGCAGGCAGGTGGAACTCAGTCGAATGGAGCGCTACGATGAAGAACTCGAATACCTCGCACGGAGCTTCGGACAAGCGTGCCCCTGCTTCACGCGGATTTCCTCTCTTTCAAGCGTACAATGGATTCGTATTAGGGGGGACGAGTGACAAAGGGGATCAAGGGCGGCCGTTTGAATGAAATCTTCCCAAATTGAGACACCTCCCCGACGAATCGCATCCACCGACAGGCAAAGATTTAGATCTGTTGATCTCGATGCACTCGAGCGGGAAATTTTTCCGCCACGTGTTTTTCGGTGATGCCGGCGACCCTGGCTGGTGAATAGAGGCGCTCTCCGCTGCAATGCCTTCCTGGCGTTATTTGGTTGCGACCCGCCGCTGTGTAATCCGGAGAGGACTGTTGTTGAGATAGCGCGCCGACGCTTTATCATACAAGGTGAAGGCCGTCGAGAGGCCTTGACTGTCACCGAGAGAACTAACAGCCTCGCCGGGGAAAAGAAAACCGATTCCACTTAACTACTTCCCACAAAACTCGTAAATGCACTCATCTCGGAGCTCAGAGTAGCGGACTCAATTATTGTCGGGTCTGTGTTCTCGACCTGGGAATTCATCTTCTCCGTAAATAGAGCCGTTGGCGCTCTAGGTCGCTTCGCATCTCGAAAGTGATTTCGCTTCACAATCACAGAATGACGTGCTGTGCCGTGCTGCTAATCGATCGAGGTAAGATTGGGAGCTTGACAGAGAGAGAGAAAGATTGACACACTTTCGAACAGCCAAGGCTCACTCGGGACAGCATTCCGGTTTGTGTAGGTCTTCCGTCCTCCGGACCGTGGATGAAATGCAGAAAGATAGGGGAATGCGTATCTCCGGGGAAAACGGAATGTGTTCTGCCCTCCCCTCTCCAGAAATATCTCCAATCCACTGAAAGTGGAATCATAAAATATGCGGCTCACTGCTCAGATCCGACGACGGGCTCGGGAGCGAGAGCGCTCAAGTTCAGCTACATTGTTTCTATCCGCTCCCCCGTAGCGGGGATCCGAGAAGCGGAAATAAAAAACAATGGAAGAAGCGTCGAGCGACGGAGCATGCCGTAGCGAGCGGGCGGCTCATCCAACAAACCAACGATGGTAGATATTTCGCTGTAATCTAAAGGTCACATGGGGAATTCTTTTAGGAGCTCACTTGGGTAATAGGAGCTCAGAGCAATGCTCGAATTTGGGAGCGTGCTCTTCAAGACATTCCATTCCTTAATGCTAACCGATCCGAGGATGCGAGGGCGAATCTAAAGGGTCCGTGTTTGCATCCAACCCTTGTAATATCCGACCGATTCATACGGCTTAGGTGTCTCTCCGAGTGTGTCGCATCCGAGACCGTATCGAAAGTCCAAGATTGAGTGAGATGCTTTTAATCAGCTCGACCAGAGGAGGGGTCTCGAGCTTCCCAAAGTGATCGACGTCGCTGCGAATACGAATCCGGACAGCGCTGAAATGGCTGGGACTGTAACTTGTGTAAGTCGTGTCATTGGCTGTAACTTCTGCCGTCCTCCCTTCGCCAAAGAAAGGACTAAGTCGCTATTCAGATGCTGTGGACCGATTCAGGAAATGATTGGTACTCGATGATTAGCCTGAAATTCGAGAGGCTCAGATTAGGAGCCTTTATACGAGCGTCCCTTCTGGTCGGTGCGAGTTCACTAACGAGGAACCCGATACAGGAGGCTATGAAAAAGCTGGAGGAAACTTTTAATCGACTCGTTTGTTCAATGTGTTTCGGAAACAAAAACGCGGTACATGGCAATGTTTCGAACCATTGCTCAAAAGCTAAACACGATCGAATGGACATTCTGATATTGCTCAAAACGCGAATTGAGCGGGTCGCACAGAAGCAGCCTTGTTGTTGATCCAGAGAAGCTCGTTGTCAAAACGTGGCTTTATTCTCGCCTCGGGTAATTCGAACCTCAAACTCCGACGAGGTTCTGTTGGTCCGTGATTCAGCCTGTGAGCCGCTAGAAGTGACAAAGGTGATGGAAGACGAATCATAATTAGAAAAAGCGTGTGAGAATCTGGTCGGATACAGAAACTCATACGATTGGATTCAGGAAAACCCCACAATAAACAAGCCAATCGAATGGAGCCGCTGCATTGACAGAGGACTCCTATCTCTGGCGGTGTCTCTTCTGCTCGGGAAATCGCCGAGCTCGTGACGAGTTGCGCGCTGAGGTTGCATATCGCTAGGCTTGGACGTTCGGTCGAATATACATTTCGCATACCGCATGGCGATTCTCATTGTGATCTGAGCCTGTCAGCCGAGCGGTGACGTCCAGAGTGTCGTCGGAGAGCCATATGTCCGGCGGGAGCTTCCCGAGAGTGAGTCATCCGGGCCAGAATGTGCTTACTAATCCGGGAGCCGGGACCGGATCATTCTCACGGAAATTCGGTCGAGGTTTTCGACGGGAGCTCTGAGAGCTTAGCGCGACAGCCTCAATGCGAAAGTACCGAACACTCGAAATGAAGCCGCTCGACTGCCATGATCATTCGTCTTCGCACGTTCGCCAGGGTGGAAAAGTGTTCCATCGTAAATGATGCGGCCCCTGCTCCTGGATCACGATTCTCCGATCCGAGCAGGACGTCGTGAATTTGCCAGACTTACAGGTGGCACTGAGATTCGTTCGTAGACTTCGATGAATTCTCATGGCCGTAGGAAGAAAAATAAATACCTAACTCGCATAGCTCGCGTTCCCGTCGAATAGATTCGAGAGTCAGCGATAGCTCCTCGCAAGCTGAAGAATTCCAGAATGTTCGGATTTGAGTTTCCCGAACCCAAAATATCCTGAAACTCATTGTCTGACATGTCGACTCGGAAGAGTGCCTGAGGGACTATTGAGCAGAGTGCGAATCGCAGTCGTTTATTTCTTGTTTCGCTGTCATTACTGCCCAGTTTCATGTTTCTACCACTGCGTTTCGGATTTCTCTCGATCTTCGTCCGCTGCACAGCGAGTGCTCAGAATAGTTGATTGCACCCCCAAGGAAGATAAGCTCAAGCGGACTTTCCGAGAAGGTCGCCACGGCTCCGGCGATTTCGGGTGTGTGAGGAGATCCGAGGATCTCGCCCATAATTACAGTCATACCAGTATGTATTGCCGACAAGACGATCCACCGAGATGAAGAATCGGTGAACTTCGAATGAATCCCGATCTTCCCTTAACGAAATCGAAACGATCATCCACAAGAACGCTAACGATCCACAAACTATCATGGGTACAGGAAAAAAACGTATAGAGTTGTGTCTGTAAACACAGAATCGATTATGAAATGGAATGTTGAGCCAGCGTGTCAATAATGTTTCGCTGGTTTTTCCGCTGCCCAACTGAGCCTTGTCGCTGCCTCGTTCGCTCTGTCCGACTTTCCTCTGGACGTAGTCGACCAAAAATTTCCTCGGTGGTACAACCTTCGCTCAGCCGGAGCAACTCCTTCCGGATTGCGATCACTTCCGGTTACATCGCTAGAGATTTCAAAATCTTGGACCCTTCCCCTAGTTCGGAGAGCTCGAACCCGGAGTTCGTGGTCTTCAGGCGCGTCGGGCGCGCCGGCTGAGACTAGACATCGTGGGGGGCGTCACCTTTTGTCTCGAACATAGACTAGAAAAACTTGATCCGTTTCTGGAATATGCGATCCATCAATGGATCCCCGGTGATTCGATGGGCTTCCACGGAATGAGGAAACTGGTCCGCAGGAGAAGTCATATTTTGGTCGCTTGAAGCGCCCCGCCTTCATCATCACATTTTGAGATTTCATGCCCCACCTCCCCATTTGAGGTGTCCTTCCCACACAAATGGCGAGTATGCGAGTCGGACGGAAATTCGGACAGGAGTATCCATATTGGTTAACACTCGCACACACGCTCTTCGCTTGTTGTACAATATATGCATAGTTAACGGTAAACATGAGAGCACTTGTGGGAGGCAGCAAATTACTCTATTTGGAACCGATTTCTTAGCAATTATCTCTGTTGAGGTCGCCTATAGCGGATATCTGTCCTTGCATATAAATTTGCATACTTTTCCAAGTCATGGTACCACATGAATGCTTCACAAATTCGTGTGGGAAAGAGATGGAAATTTCTTCAATTAAGGGATCGCACTCGACCAGATGTTCACGGACGAAAGAAGATTTATGGCGACCATGATAGAGGAGCGTCCTTTTCCGCATCGGTCGACAACTCGAAAGCTTGCACTGCTGCCACTAATCGAAGCAGGATCGAGCTAGTCTCACACAGATCTTTGCTCTCGATCAGGCCCGATCGCTGATAAATCGACATTTTTCGCAAATGGAGATGTATCTCGATGTACATAAAGAAGCAAAAAGTAGTGTCTTAGACGGTTGTCACAACAAAAAAGAAGAAGATCCTTTCCGGGTGTCACAGAAGAGCGGTGTCCTCGCCAAATTGAAATGTACACCGGCCGTACATCGTGCGTCGATTAAGCAAATTTGTTTCACCTTGCTTAACGTACGCGGCGAGTCGGTTTGTTTCCGACCAATTCAAGTCAAGCGACGACGGCGCGGCCGTTCCTAACGAGCCGCGAGCAGCCTTCGCGATGGCGTTAGCTATTCCTCCGTTCGGCAAACGTCGTTCTAACCAAAGTTAACCAACGCGAGAACCCACGCCTCCCGGTTCATCCTTGGCCCTAAAACAAAACATTGCAGCGAGTCGATGATCATCACCACTTTCCCATCGAAACCGCTGGTTCAGCGCACGCCCTGCCGTTCACCTCCGGATCATTGCTGTTTCGTCTGATTCACCTAATTCTTCTATCGTTCATCTAATTGCATTTTTTCGAACACTGACCGACCAAGCGGCGATGGTGTCGCCAAACACGTGACTCCAGACAGCATTTGGGGCACGAGCTCTCCTCGACGTTAACGCTGTTTCCCCATTTGATTTTTTGACCGAGAATGATCGTGCGGAAAACCACGAGCGTTATTTTAGAATCACGAATCCATGTGCCCGGAATATCATAGCAAGTTCTCCCGTCCGGATCACTGTACCTGAGCGAATCAATCGGATGGGGAATCGAAGCTCGAGAAGACATTCCGGATTTTCATTCTTCGAGCATGAGTATCGCTTCCTGGTATTCTGAGATCGGGCACGGCGCTGGCCATCAGATTCCAGGCATGAATATATCAATCTCATTCAAAGCCTTCTCGGATGGTGACATTCGAACCGTCTTGACATTGGCGCCAGAAAGTTCGCATAACACAATGAATCGATATCGAAAAACATTGACATTATTATTGTGTTTTATAGATTCGACCGCGTCCTAGGCCTTCCTGGACGCGATATCGGAAGCACTCGCTAAGGCTTTTTTTTCTGGCCTTCTGCGTCCACCTCGCTTCTTCGATTGTCGTACAAAATCACATGCATGCGCAAACAAATCGATCAGCGGATCGCCTGATGCCGTCGCGATCGAAACATTGAAAATCTTCTGTCCGAACGAGAGTGCTAAACTTTGATGGAAGCTGCTCTCATGCGAGTCATTCATGTGAGGATCCGAAGGAATACATTTTTCGAAGTCTAAGCGAACATTAACGGAGACAATGCGGGGACTCTGATAACGTCTTTTGTTTTCTCTCTATGCATTGACTGGGCTTGCTCTGGATCGACGCAACAGATATTCTGACCTGGCTGCTGCTGTTGCTGCCGCCACCAAGACCAGCAAACCACTTCCTGGAGCAAAGGACTGTCGGCTGGTTTTTTTCTGGCTGACTGCTTCTGGAATAGTTTGGATAGTTTGTTGGTTGTTTCAAGCTCTGAATCTGCGTTGCAACGCGTGTTTCGTCGGACGACGACAGCACTGTACGGCCGAGGTACATTCTTGGCATTCAATGGCCCGGCGCTTTTTCTTTCAAGGAGAGACCGTTCAGGATCGAATCCATTCTAGGGTTACGCAACATTAATAATTTTTTTCCGCGAATAGGAATCATGAGCACTTTCCTACTATCCCCACATTTAAGGACGACTTTTGCGGATCGACTGTTTGGGCGTTACGGTTTCTGGCAGTCTCTCCTCTAAAATTTCTCCATCTGAGTCTACCCGCCCGCTTCCGTAGGCAATCTGATAATATAGACTGAATAGTTGGAAAACGAGGGCGCTTCCTCCGCTCTGCCGTTAGAGCAGATTCGAATGAATGTCTCGAGCTCCCCGGGTACGCACCTGGTCGCCCCCAGAGTATATCCCCGTGAATCTGCGACCAGCGCTCCTGCTTGGGATCGGACTCGACACGAATTCTTACATCGGCTTATCAGTTCCTCGGTTCTCGACTTTCGTCTTGGAAATAGGGGCGGATCTGCATTGTTTGTTGTTCCTGTTGTTATTGCTGTCTTGACTGGAGTTTCAAAGAACGGTTGTTCACGATCGGCCGCGTCCGAGAACAACACCTTTCACGTCGCCTTCGGAAACAATATGTACGACAAGACAACGCTTATTCAAGATTCCCCTTATTGATGAAAAATGTCTCGAGCGACCTTGTGGCCCCGCTTGAGAATAGTTAAGCGTTCCCCTGAAGATTCCGGTCCAAATACTTCCCGACGAGTGCCGTCTTATCGCCTGCGAGGAAGTGTCGCTGCCGAGCAACGCGGCGCTCGTTCCGAGAACTCGACGGCGATGCATGCATTCGGTATACGAAGTGAGACTTCAGAGATTTGGGAGATTATTTCCGCGAATAGCGCGTATTGATGTATATTATATCAGCGCTCGTGTCGGGTTACCGCTTGTGCTTGACCACCGCCGAATTTCGTGAAAAGGGCGGTTTTGCTGAACGGCACGAACATTGATCAAGCAGCATGATTCGGGAAGCCTTGTGCGGAAGGAAAGAGATGTGATCAATTAGATTTTTTCGAACAGATAAACTAGAAAAGTCGAGGGAAATATTTACAAAATACATTTTCTCCCGCGACTCCTTGACCGTGTGTCTCGGTCGCGAGCGACTCCCAGCGGGAGATTCCATTAAGAGGGACTGGTTCCTCATGAGGGAGGGAATCTAAGCGCCGGACGTGGCCTTTGAAATTTGAGAACATTCGTTTTCAAAAAATTAACAGCACAAGCGTCTTATGACACATAGAGACACCCTCTCCATCGTTTTCTGATGTCTGAATGTTTTTTCCTATCTAGAGTGAAATCACTGCGCGCAGATGCTGATACCATGATGAATATGGGGATGAGAGGCGAATTGATTGATTAATTGATCCTCTTCTTCCCTCCAATTTTCAGCTCTAGATCGGCGCGAATCTCTCGAAGACTGGAGTCCGTCCGAGAGCTCCCAGTTAGGAGAGGCTGGAGTGAACGAGGCAAGCTTGACGCGATCGCCTTTCTCTCTTGATAGCTATATTCAACAACTGCATCTCCGCACGCCGGTAGCCACCTGTAAAAGTAGTCAGACCAGTTCGAAAGACGACAAGATGGACGTCGACGGAATCGTCCCTCAGATCGCGATGGGTACGCTGATTGTCTGCGTGCATAAGAGTATCTCGTACCGCACCTGTCTCGAGCTCGGATTCAACCACGATCTTTCTCAGTTGTAGGATCAAACTGGCCCAATACCGATATTAGCAATTTCGACGGAACCGACAGCGGGAGCGAGGACCAGCCTTTGGATTTGAGCTTGAACCGATCATCCCCCGATAGCAGTGGACATTCTACAACTAGCGGGGGCTCGATTTCGTGAGTTCAACATATTATTCTCTGGACCGAATCGGGAGTTGTCCCACGGCCCCGGTCCCGACGATTGTTCGTGATTCGATCTTGAGTGCACTCGATGGAATGATGTGATCGCTTGCAGGATTAAGAGAAAATCTTCGGATAGCGTTACGTCGACTACGTCGGGGGTGTCTTCGCCGCTAAGGACGACCACGCCTCCTGCCACCCCCGTGCCGACAGTTCCTGTTCAAAGTCAGCTGCATGCGTTGCCCACCCTCTTGACCGGTGTTCCCCAGAAGCGAACCTACACGGAAGAGGAACTCCAGGCCGCTCTACGGGACATCCAGGCCGGGAAGTTGGGCACGCGGAGAGCAGCGGTAATCTACGGGATTCCGAGATCCACTTTGAGGAACAAGGTATACAAACTGGCCAACGATAAACGCAAGATCGAGCAGGCCGAAAGTCGACTCAGAGCTTCACAGAACGACTTCGATCCTACGCCAGAGGTGAGTGCGCCGGACTGCAGAAGAGAGAAATTCGGAAAGTTTTTTTCCGGTATGCAGTCGATAGGTACAATTCCCGAAGCCTGCAAGAAATCGCCCGCTGGTAACGAGACAATTGGGGTATTCGCCCCAGGAGCCGGAGAATCCGACCCCAAATCAAATTCTTGCCACAAGAAAGCAGTGTCATGCCGAAAACCTCTCCGCGGATGACGAGGCAGAGTCTCCCGGCGAATGGCAGAATACCTCGACTACGTGCTACCATCAGACTGTGAACCCCTGTCACAAAGCCTTGCGACGAATATATGGGCCGTAAAAACTATCTGAAACCCGGCCCGGGTGGCCCCTGTGCATCCAGGACAAAGCCCCTCTCGTCTCCTGTCCCTGACGGAAAATCGGTAGATCAACTACGGCTGCCGCCGATCGAAAGTCGGCTATACAGGAGACAGCTTCTGCAATGATCCCACTTGGGCAGAATAAATCCAGTACGGCACCAGGCTATTGGGGACGATAATCATCGATTAGTGGGTTATTTTAGAAAAAACGTTCAGGAATCATGAAATCCAATCGCTGCTGCGCTGACGACGTGATTCATACACGGCCCTGTTCGCCAATTGATTGGATTGTGAATTAGCGTGATAAGCAATCCGTCGTCGAAGTTTGACACTTAGCGCAGCATCGGAAGCATCTTGCCGCGATATCGAATTCGCTATCGATTTGAGATGAGTCTTCGCAACGCTCATGGTCGACCAGTCGGCCTAATCAACCTCGAAGCGTAGAATTGCCTCGCTGGAATCATCGCGAATGGACTTCTGGAGCACTTCGTCTCTAGCTGAAGAATCCTTAATGTGTTCGGACTTCGACTTCTTGTGCCGGTCCGGTGTTTCCGTGACGACATCCCGGCCTCTGACTTCGTCAGTAGGTTTCAGATGTCTCTTGTCCATAAGCGACCCGGCTCAGACCCCGGAACCCGGCGTTGTCAACGAAGAACCCTGAGCCGACGATCTCAGGTTCTATACCTATCTCCTGAATGTAGTCCCAGAGCCAGAGGTAAATGAGAGAATGTGGAGAAGTGAAGAAAATATAGTGAGGCCAGAGTCGATTCGATGAAGATCTGCTCCGATTTGATTGATTTCACGGACGAATCAAGGTTGTTTGGCCTTCTCCTGCGGCTAGAGACAGAAGAAGAAGTTGATGCGAAAAAACCTGCGGTGGCGAAATGCGATCGCGTTCTTGGCGCTCGATTTCGAATCTGAACATCGATCCAACGATCAGGGTAGCGGACGATCGCCAGCCGGTCAGCCAGTAATGGTTATCGCATTTTGGCATGAAAATATAGAGGGCCTGGCGGCCCGGACACATTGTCGCCTTGCTGCACAACATCACGCACGTTTCTGGTTCTTGCCACAGGCCGTCAAAACCAACAACGGTGCTGCATCTGAGAGTCTTCGACAGCTCCTGAAGTCGACGATCGCGCAGAAGGGGACGTTACCGTCGCCCGCACCCAGCTCGAGCGGCGAATCTTGTTCGCCCCCTCTGGGTCTCGGATCACTGCTCGGAGTCGCTCCCCCGGTGCCCGCGCAAGATACCGTGCAGATGCTTCAGCATTTTCTGACTTCGATTCAACACATGGCCATGAGTGGGATGTTGCCGTCGGAGAACATGATGCCCGAGCTCTTCAAGCAGTTTCCCGGTAAGAATCTCGAAGAAGCTCCCAGCACAAGCCTTCCGCAGCAGACAGGAAATTCCTCGCCTCGTCTGGGGTTGCACGGACATTTTTCTTCGACGGAGCTCCTAGATCCTCCCGATTAATTTCCACTTTCTCCTGGAGGTCACGAGCGAGTTCTGGAGGATCCAGCGAATCTGTCCGCGAAAAACTCAAACTTGATGGCGATTGGAGGCGTCTTAGGTGGCCTCCGAGGTCTGGGAGTCGGGCTCGGTCTCGGAATGGAGGGTTTAGAAAGTAAACTCCACAGTAGCGTTCAGCCAGGAGTTGGTGAGCAGCTCAATTCGAAGAATGTTGTCAAATCCGACAAGCACCTGGACGCAGTGAACAACCAGAAGAAAGCACCGCAGAGTGAGTACCGGCGATCGCCTTCTCGCTGAAGATTCTCCTCAAATGAACGAGGCTCGTAGATGAGGAATGATAATTGTTTTGCATTCAGAGAAGACTCAACGATATGCCAGATCGGAGAGTGCGGTTTCAATCGTGATTTGACTTTTGCAGTGTCCGCCGATGGTAAGGTTGTGCGACCTAAGCGGGGCCGCTACCGGAATTACAACCGCGATAATTTGCTGCAGGCTGTTCACGCTGTTCAACGTGGAGAGATGAGCGTTCATCGCGCAGGAACTTTTTACGGAGTGCCGCACTCCACTCTTGAGTATAAAGTGAGTCTCGAGCCTTTCGTTCAGTGCGCAGCTCCCGGCGGGAAAATGCTCAAGAAACGCGAACAGCTGCGGACCGGAATCAAGCATCTCTTTCTCAATTCTGCCGCTGCCTACTGCAGGTCAAAGAACGACATCTTCTCCGTCCCAAGAAGCGAGCTCAGAAACCTCAGACGTCGTCCGTACCGACTTCACCGAGTCCCGTTCCGCCTTCATTGACAGTCTCAACTATGGACGCTCGACCCTATCCGTGGGCTCCGGCAATCGCTGTGTCGCCTCTGGGAACAGCTCTGGGAGACAATAGAGTCCCGTCGGGACCTTTCTTCACTCCGCATGTGATAAAAGACATAACTGACAAAGATGACGACTCGGACTGTTGCGCCGAGAGAAAGGTGGGTGCAATAGTAAATATCGCAAGCTCATCATCCTTACGCAAACTCCCAGGATTCGGTTATTCCTCTGCTTTCCCTGTGCGCGCTCCTCGAATAATGCTCGACATCTCTTCCAGAGCCCGCTCGGCACCGACGAAGACAACGGGAAGCATGGTGTCAGCGTTCTGGAACAGCTGATCAAGTGTGGCATGCGAGAGAAATCCGAAGAATTAGGAAACGACGATTCGGACGCCGGCTCATCACCCGCTCTGAAAATCGCAGAAGTTCCCGAGGAGATGGTAGTGGAATGAGCGGATTCCTGCGAAAATCTGATCGATTCTAGTCCTTTCTATATTGCTCCGCGCGTCGCCCGAGCAACTCGGGTCAACGGCTGACTTCACGACGACGTACCTCAGAGAGGAAGCGTCAAGCTGAAATAGCGTTGCGGTCGCGGTGAAATAATGTTAGTACGCTCGCGAGCCGACCGCAGGACATTTCCACTGACCAGCCGGCCTGTCGGCCTATACCGTTCTCTCAGGAGACGAACGACCTGGCTACGGTGAAATCGACGGTCGCTTCGTCGACGACCACAGAACTAGTTCCATGACTTCAAATGCTTCAAATCTATCAGTTCCACAAACCTAGTCTATCCGCCCTGTGATTGAGAAACCAAAAATCATTGTTGGTCTTGACATTTGAGGTTGTGCATCGACCAGCGATTCCGTTATTGAGCATGACGAATTCGACTTCTCGGTACTAATGACTCGGACGCACCTGAGTAGAAGGTGGAAGCGCCGGAGCCGTCCATGAAACTCCCTCCTGAGGATCAGATACTGGTTGTGGAGTCCAGAGTAGAAGGCGGAGAATCCCCGCGGAATCCCGAATCAATCCCAAGATCGGCGCGTCTCGAAATCCGAGAGCGGAAACCGTCCGTTGTTTCGAAGGGGTACGTTATCCTGGTTCGACGATAACCAAAGATAGAGGGGTGGATCTCGCTCTCGAGAGGTTCGGCCGGAATCCACCCGTGGACACATTGGCTGCGGAGGTCGTGTCTTTTTCCCAAGTTGATTTAGCGGACCAAGAATGGCACTCTTGGAGTGTATCATTGACCTCGACGCTCGAGGTCTTTCTGTACATAAATCTGTGAATAGCCCGGTAGTCCAGCTGGACATGTTCGGAAGTCTCGAGAAAGCTGGCTGACTTCGACATATCGTTTTGCCGAAACCGAATCCTCACTGAATCTATCCCGCTATTCGATGATGATATTAAGTGAAACAGTAGTGGAGTCGGAGAGTTGCCGTGCAATCAAAAATGCAGAGTTCCTTCCAATGAGCTCTGTATTTCACCGTCGAGGGAAGTTTTCTATGGTCGAGAGAAACTCTCGGCTCCTTTCGAATCAGTGCTAAGAAAGATGTCAGTGTATCCACACTCACTGCAGGGAAATAGCTTGTCGTCACGGGATGCACAGCTACCGCGGACGGAAGAGTTCCCCATACAGGTGCTGGACCAAAATCAAAAGCCGAAATCAGAACTTTTGACTCGCCCGGCTGATCCATGCGAGCTCCAAAGCACGTGGAAGTGATATCCGATTACTTTGAGGTGCGGTTATTTCGGGGCGCAATGGATCGTCACGGACGGAGACGAATATCTATATGACGATTAGAGCTCAAAAGTATCGAAATTTCTCAAATAGCTGAATGATTCGGGGGAATCAATGGATGAGATTCCGTGGAGTGCTAAGTTAGTGTGTTATTTTTCTACTTGTACTCTTCTTGTTCGTCGAGCGGAGCGAGCCAGATCTCCGAGAGCCCTGGTGCTCACGCGCGATGTCTGTGCAATCGTGCAATCAACTCCGAGTAGTTCGAGGCTCCCCCGAGGAACCGGCAGTTCCATGCAGCGCGGTGAACCATCCGAGTTCGAGCAATGCAAACCCCTTAGAGCGCCAGTGTCGGTCCCGCATTTTGGTGGAGGACGACTGGCGCATTTCGTCCTCACGTCTCTTCCAATGCTCAATATTTTCACTAATTATGAAGCTTCCTGTCGGAAGACTCGGACTTTGACGTATGTCTTCAAGGCTTTCAACAACATGTGGTCTACCTCGCGTATACGTATCGTCTCGTATGTCTCGTCAGACGAAAACAGTCCTCTCGACCACTATTGTTTCAAACTGTCTTTGGTATTTTTCTAGCCTTTCGCACTAACTCAATATTTCACTCATTCTCTCAGTCGGAAGGGCCGCCGTTTTCACTGCCAGCGAGCCCTTCGGTTCTTGGAAGAATATGAACACAATCGAGTGTCAGTGTGAACGAGTCGAAATCTCTGGATTTTCTTTCCGAATCAAGCATCTGGGTACTTGAACTCAATTTCTAAATGTTCATGTTCAACTAGCAGAATAGTAGGGAACGGAGGGTGGCGCGAGAGCTCGCCTGAGTAAGCGTAGTGACCCTTGTCCCGAGACAATCCACACTGTCGACAAGCGTTAGATGCAAGAAGACGAAATTGAATCGGGTCGGGGGCTTCTCGTATAATTTGAGTCCGTTCACATCATTCCGGAATACCTATGGGAACGTACGATAAATTTATATAGGGATCGATATAGATATATGCCGATTGGCCGGCTCTAGACTATCATGGATAGGCAGTTATTCAGATGTCCGAGCAACAGATCGGTGTTGCTTCGAGCAAGCGAATCCTCCGATCATCAGATTGATCTTCCAGTAGGGTGATCTGAAGATTGGTCGCTCCTTAGGTTCCTTGTGAGATCGCGATCTGTGCGTCCATCAATCGACAAGAATTCAGAAAGAGTAAATCGGGATGTTGAGCCGTGGCTTTCGGAGTAGGATCGATTTTCCCAATACTTAGGTAATATTTGTCGATGTTTATTACGTTGTTTATTATTTCTTGATCAATTCAACGGTTGATAATTATGTGGCGGATGCTCTCTCATCCTCAAAAAAACCCAATCGATGGCTCGACTGCGTGTCGGTCGACTATATACATAATATATATACATACCATATTGTACAACAACAACAACTACAATTATATATACCTATTCAATGATGCGCATTTACTCTCAAGTCAGTTTTATCGATAGTTATCTAAAATGATGATGATGGTGATGATGTTCATCGAGGGAAAGGTGATAACGATGATGAGAGTATCAGAGGGGAAATAAAAAGAAGGAGACCATTCAATTACACCACGATTCAGTGTTTTCCATTCCCGAAGATTTCGCAGCCTGCACAGCACCTTGTGCTCGCTTGGGTTCTATACACCGTGGAACCCCCGCATATTGAGCTTGGAGGGACAAGCCGAAACGCAATATCCGAAGTCCGTTTAATCCGAAGGTGGGTTCTAAATCGGATTGGAAAGTAGAAATTATCGGAGACACCGCTGCAGCCAACCTCACGACGTGCATAGTTGCGAGGAACCCGGCGAATCATCCAATAAACTATCGCTTCCGAAATCCTGGTTGGTTCGGTTATGACTTGGAATGCTATAGGACCGGACATTTCTTTGCCAAAACCGAACAGTGTTCGGACAATATTGCGAGAAACGGACTTCGGAGCCGGACACGTTCACCCTGGTTTTATATCCTCTCTTCGGTGTTCAGCCTCCTTGATGTGCCTGATGAGCTCATTACTGGCGCACAAGGACTCCAAAAACGCTATCTTGCAATAACAACCGAGACTGGGGTCGGGTTCAAGAAAAGCTTCGAGCTCCTCTGGTGTATGGCGTCGGTCGCTGCTTCGCCTTGAGAGCTCGGTCTGAACTCCCTCGCTCGATGGATTCTACTCCCCTCACATGATGATTCCCTGAAACCGGAAAACCGTTTGGAGGAAGCTCGTGAAAGCCGTTTTTCTTCCCGTTGCAGCAGAAAACCGGACAAGGATCCGACCGCTCATATGGCATCTCTGACCGATTTCATTAGGGAGATGGAACCAGTCAGTTTTTCGAGGAGGTCTGCCATAGGCGCGTCACTCATCATTGGAGATCCCATGGGCTTGTCCGGAACCGAGCAATCCGTCGCTTGTAATCGAGGGTCCCTCATGACTGGTCTCATTTTAAGAAGCTTCCACAGTATCTGATTAATCAGACGGCTGTCAGGCACCATTGTATGTATTTCACTTTTATTTCGCATATTTTCTACAGAGGAGTCCTATACCAATGGCACGGTGAGATATATCCGCTTAGGTCTACTCTTCGTCATTCCATCTCAAACGGAAATAGCATTTCTGGAGTTAACTGTACATGAGTAGGGAGGCGGCTCAGGAAATCCGCCGCGGTCTGAAATCCCTGACCCGTTGAGTCGATCTCCTCTTATCACAGTCCCGACACTGAGGCTAGAACGCTCTGAGCGAACTCTATCCGTACTACCGATAATATCTTATATCGTTCGCTCAAATACTGATTTAATGTTTCCTTATGGATCCATTGATCATCAATTGTCAAACGAAGCCGAAGCCCTGGCTTCCCTCCTGAAGAGCCGTCCGGAGTTGACGCTCCATCCGCTCGCAGGATTCGTAGGATGGCAGACACAGATAGTTGAAGCTGGAAAAAAATTATCGATGAGCGGTCGCAAGGGTACAGATCGGCGATGAGCTCGTTCTTCAGCAATGCGGGTCTTCTCACCAAGTGTGAGCCGAAGGCAACGTATTCAGAGCCTCTACATAGACCAGGTGTACCCATGGATCGAGTTGAGCAAAACCTCCAAGCGGCAAGCGGCTACTGCCTGTAATACGCCAGAGCGATTTTCGAAATGACTGGAATCTGGAGTTTCCCTGAAGTGGGCGTGCGTAAGTATAACGCGCCCATGAGGACAGGAGTCGAATGGGAGTCTCTTTCTGATTTTCATAAACCGGAGGACTGACCTGTGATGAATTGCACTAGCTGCGAAAGCTCTTCTTCGGAGAACAAGCCAACGATCTGGAATGAATGGATAGCCGGAATCGGAGTCCCGCGACCAGGGGATTCTGCTCGAATAGCTGTCGACGGCTTAGGGTGATTAGAAACTCACCTTCCAAAACCATTGGAGAACATGCTTGTTAGTGTCTGTCCAGCCGAGCGCGTGATGATTGTTCCGGAGGTCGTCCACCGAATATGAGGGACTTCCGCACAGGACCAACTCGAGCTCTTCTTCGTCGAAATCGCGCAGCAAGTTTATGTTCGAGACAGTATTGAAACCCTGTAATGGATCCCATATCCTCTTGATGATTAATTATTGTTCATTGCTATGCTTCGGAACGAGGCTGCACCGCTCAACTGGGCGTTTTGTTCATTGGAGAGCCAAGTCGAGGCCTCAAGAATGACGAATCGCCCCCTCGACGACTCTCATACTCGTCGTAGGGCTCGAGGAACTTGTCTTGCCCCGAACTCAGCGAAGTACCGGATTTTCGAGGCCACACGAATTCATGAGACACAACACTATGCGTGATTTTCGAGCTTTCAAGTACGGGACCGAGATCATACGACAAAACTATCACGGAATTTCTCGACTGGATCTACTCACCCTCATGAAACTTTTTACTTGTTTGCGAACTTTTCGAGCGAGTCGAAACTCTGCCAGAGCGTTCAAGTACTGGAATTTATTTACTTCTGTCACGGCTCTCGACGCTCCATTGGGGACAAGTTCGATTTCCTTTGGGATGAAACGGGGAATGACATCAGCGATGATTTATCATGGAAAAAGTCGCTCTTCTCTTTCACGCGAAGTGAAGGCGCATTGACGTCATCTCTGGCGGTCAGATGTGAAGCCTTGATCGACACTGCTTCCGCGGAGCTCATCGACCTCTAGCGAAATTCAGACATACCTGAATCAGTTTTCCATCTTCGGAGTATTCTTCATCGACGAACTTCAAGTCGAGCTCTCCAACGTCATTCTCAAGGACATATCTGTGGACATCCCGATGAAGGCAACCCTCAGTGTTCAGCTAGGGCTGGTAGGGGAATAACCCAGTATGAACATGACTCAAACACTGCCAACCTGATTTTCCCGTGATATAATTCTGGATCGTCCGTTTTGAAGTGGCGATACGTGACTGGTCGACCAAGCATCTGGGCCAAAAACGACCTGAGGATGGAACAGAACAAATTACAGGAAAATTCTCGCTCGAAAAAGAAATCTCATACCGAATCCGTGAAGAACGAGACTAGAAATTACCGGGCAAAGTTGGCTTTCACTGTCAAGCGATGCTGGTTGCCAAGGGCTGATTCGTAGACACATTTGGCGACGACGCTACCAGCGAACTCGAGCTTCTTCAAAGTTGAACCTACTGCTGGTTTTGACGAATTAGGTAGAACGAGGCCCTGGGGTCCACCGTAAGAGAAGAAGAGACCTTCCGGAATAATCGAAATTGTAATCACAGTGCACCGTCTCGAGATGTTCGCCCTTCCACCGGTACTTCTCACAGATCTCGTATTCTCACACCACGGAAGCTCACCTTCTTTCGGATCAAACAGTTTGATGCAGAGAATTTCGAACCATTCCCGACTGAGTCCCCCCATGTCGGCCGCGATCTCGTACTTGATATTGATTTGGAATTTCCTTTGCCAATCCTCTTTGTCGAAACATTCTGTGGCTTTCATCGTCTGGAAAATTGTGTTCGGACATCTTTTTCGGAAACTTCCGCTGTGTCGAATTCTCAAAAAGCTCCCTGATGGAGAAGAGAACTCACCGTGCCTACGGGATCAGATCTGCACACGATCAGCCTGCCCGGTCCCTCGAGGTCCCTCTGGAGCGAAGTGACTTCACCGTTCTGACCGCGCACCTTTGGATGAATGGACAAAAGCATTGAGTTTGGGTGACTCCCCACGACAAAAACGGATTTCTGAGTTTGGTCTTCTGGTGTGCCGATGCTTTGGGAACGCAGCGGGGACTTCACGAACCGAACGGCTTGGCCTCCTTCTAATTTCGACTTCCGATCAACACGCATGCTGATTAGATTCTCGTGGTATCTTCTCAGATGCATGAGCCTCCCATGATAATCGTTCATCTGACGAGAGACTCACCCGTCTGACCAAGAGCTCCCGTCGCTCTTCGAAGGCCTTGCCGCGATCACCGCTGAACTTCGTTAAGTGCAGAAGACTGGCGTATATGAACAAGTATGAAGCTGACGAAATGGACAGCTTCAGGAATCCCAGCTCGTCCTCTAGCAGTACTGTTTTATCCTTCAATGTCACCTGAAATATCACATGTGGGATGCTCGAGGTGTGAGGGATCTCATCTCCCTAGCACCATGTACGATAATCTGTTTCCGGCAGCTGACCTTCAACCCGTTGGTGATGGCAAGACTAGTCTCAGTGTCGTCTTTGGCGGAAAAATGTAGTCGACTCGAATTAGGGGAATGTCCCGGCTGTACCCATATCGAGCACCTGAAGAAATCGTTCCCTTATCATCTCGAGCACTCTTCTCACAGGCATCGGTATTTTCCCCACCGTCCCATTGACGATGTTATGGAGAAGACCTCCATTTGTATGTAGCATCGTATTGAATTGAATCGTGATGGAAGTCGCACCGTATTTCTTCGTGGTCGTTCTTGAGAATCGCCGATTCCCCTAAACTGAGTCGGGCTGAAGTATCTTCAGAGTTGAAGTTCAACAAAGTATGGAAACGTGAGTCTGGAAGGAGAGGTGTATCGTCAGGTTGTAGCCTCTTCCCACTCTTCTCTGTCTTGAGCCTCTCGGGTTGCTCCCCGAGCGAGCGTACGGAATTCCGTGATCTCAACCCGACAGAGACTCGATTGAATAAATCAAAGATTCAGTGGCCAGCTCCGATCGCTGCTCATTCTTCCCGCCTGTCGCGTATCGGAGGAAATTTTCGCGGGATCCGTGGGGCTAGACATATTCTGCGGGGCCTGGAAGATCGTTGACTCGGCATTCCTCTTTCCTTCGGTAAAATATTGCGCTCTATGACATTGGCCGAGGAGAGACCGAGTTCCTCCATCGATGGAAGCCGCAATTTACTTCCAGAAGATCAGATCGGCCAATCGACCTCCCGCAGCTAGCCGAAGATCGTCTCCAAATTGTAGCCAAATTCTACTCCTTTCGAGACATCGTCGATCCAACCTCCATCCGTGTTGTCCGAAAATGGGTCATCTCTCAGTCATCGGTTATTGATGCGTGCCCAAAAGCGTCTGGAACGAGCTCGTGACGTCTCTGGAAGGAGCGTTCGGGATGCCGTCTGATCATGCGTCTCCGGGGTTAATCTCACATAGCGGTTACGCAACTCGCCAGATCAGCTTCGACGTGGACGCTCGCCGTACGCACCGGCCTCATGTCCCGCTCATTTTCGCATTCGAGCCACAGAAGACTGTTTCCTCGGTTCTCTGCAGAATTTCTGCCACGACTCCAGAGCGAGATAAAAACATCCCTGTTTCGCGACCATAGCGAGCCGGAAGTCTATTGCTCCGTGTCCAGCTCGTTCGTTCTCGTAGAATCTCCGAGATGATGGGACACGATGAGTTACACCGGGAAGTTGAGACAGGGTTCCACAAAGTAAGGACGGAAACTATTTTTAGCCTCCGAGAAGATCTTGCCATTTTCTCTCGGCGCTCGGTCATGAAAAACCACGTAGCCAACAGATAAGCAGCAGTACCCTTCGTGCCGATCTATCCGCTGTGATGTAAGCCCTTGACATCGTTTATGCGGACGATTGCGTCGGAACGGATCGACCGAGTGAAAAAATAAGACAGAAGCAAACATACATAAACGGAAAGAATACATTTTCACTCGAATCCGAACAAAACAATCGAGAAAGAGAAGAACCCCGTTTGGAGCCGATGAGACGATCGAAAGACGATTATCGGGAATTTCTTCCCCGAAGCTTCGAATTTTCATCGGGGAGCCTAAAGTTTCTTCCCACGCTACTGTTTTCGCCAGTTCGCTTCGCGAACGAAGCTGGAAGTTTCCTAACGGACTTCCCAAAGAGCGGCAACTTCAGGCGTCTGGTATACAAACGAGCTAACGTAAGGACCAATGGCAAACTCACCGCAGATGACGACAACATCGATTTGCGATTTCTTGATGGGGCTCTCGTCGTAGAAGAGCTGTAGTTTATAAATTCCGGATATAGGGAACTGAATGGACACCGTCGCGAAGTTGAGAACTTCATCCCGCCAGACGGAATACTTCACCGAGCATTCTTGTCCGTCGTACTGAAAGCGAATTTTTCTAAATTATCGACAAATGTACGTGCGGCATGCGTTTCATGTCGGTCTTATTTCCAACGTGAGATAAGCTCGCGCTGAATACACTTTTCTGGGTCTGCCTTCTGTTTCCACCGCTCATCCTTCCCATCATGTATTCCGCTGCGGATAATCGAAGCCTCAATTGCGTAACAAATGCCGGCCTTCTGCTCCGAGATGAGGCACTGAGGTCAGTGATCTCTCGGACGATGCAACGAGGCTGGTGATTCCGCTGGAATTCATTCAGCATCCGAAGCTGAGAGTTTCGTGAAGAAATATGAGAAAAGACGTCGCGGGGCATTGACGACATCGTTGCACAAGAGTTTTCGATGTCATAAGAGAGCGGTGGCATATAGATGGGGAAGAATCATAATTACCCTATACACGGAGAGCCTGAACATCTGCTCCAAACGTCTAGCGTTCGGTTCATCAATGAAGGTTTCGTTTCCGTATCGGTCTTTCAGCCGAAGCTTCAGCTGTAGCGGCGTCTGATCGCCAGTGACCATGACCGCTTGAGCGTTTGACACGCTGATATGCGATGCTGTAGGCTCCCCTGTAACAGACGTTGGCTATCAGAATTGGGTGAAAGCGTCATGTATCTGAGTAAGTGAAGCGACCTGCGCGGTAACACACATTAAACGACGGCTTCTGAATTTATGTTTTCACTTCTTCCCTCCCCCACCATCGCATATCCTACTTTGGGAGTCTTTCGATCCAAACAGACCCGGAAAAGTCAGACCATTGGAAGCTCGGGATCCTCGTAGAGGAGCTCGGCATTCTTCCCCTGGTTGTCGAAAAATGCTCCTCGAAACTCTTAACTTACCGGGATCGAATCGTTTGAGGAAGGGACTACCCGCGACCGGAACTTGTTCGATTGCCAATCTGAAGTTGTAGTAGCCCGAAACTCGTGGAGTGAATTGTACCTGAAGGTGTCATTGTCTCAAGTCAAAATTCGTGACTCCCTTCAGAGTCCCTTAATTATTCCGAAGTGGCACACTGAACTTTAATGGAACCGTCAAAACAGACTGGGAGTCGACAGCAAGGCGAAAGCTCTGTGAACTGACCGTTGCTTGCCCGTTGAGAGGGTCGTGGTCGACGGTGAACGGGATCGCTATGTCCCCATTGTGCATGGATATGCTTATTTCTGGCGGACCTCGCTCTGCTTTCGATGGTGGGTACTGAGGGAACATGAGTCGTTTTAGGATCGTCATCGATGTGAGCGTGGGATATTTCTTCGTTGGAGCGGGAGCGATTCCTCATCACTCCGATGATTCGGGAAGAACTCATTGGAAGCCGCGCAATCATCATTCATGAAGCAATACGCCTTCCACAGTGAGGCCATTCCCAAACCGGCGGATGAAGAGAGTCGAAATTCGATCTTACGTGAATGATGTATCCATATTGTTCGCCGACTCGAGGAACAGAATCGAAGTCCGTCCATAAGAACTCGACGTAGCAATCATCTGTGTCGACAGACCGACTTTGGGAGATTCGCTTGTGGGTTAAGGCTAGAGTTGAGGCGATCAAAGAACAGACAACAACAAGCACTGCAAGAGAAATACTCGTTTTTCTACGATGTGAAGGTGTGTCGCGCGGTGAAAAAATCGGAGTCCGACCGGACAGTTTTCCTTGTTCTCAGGGCGACCGAGGCAGCCAGTGGACCGCAGCACGAGAAAGTTTGCGAGTAATTGAGTTTGGATTCCAATTTTCGATTCTCCGTTCCTTGAATTTCGATTTTTCGTAAACGGTAAGCGCATCTCTAGCAGTTTCCTTTTCACAACAAGGATTGGATGGAAGAGCATCGGGACTCACAGCATGGCTCAGTCGAATCGTACGCCTTAGAGCCGACAATTGACGAAACGCCAAGAGGTCTGCCCGGTTTTTGAGGATGAAAAAAGTGCGAAACACGAAGGGAACGCGAAGAATAGAAGCAACAGCATAGAAGATAAAAATAAAACGCTATCGAAAGCCGAGTGGGGCAAATCCACCCGACCAATGTTGCGGCCGACGTTCGCGAACGGTTCAGCTACGAGACACGGTTACGCAACCCACACAAAGCAAGCGGAAGCGCCGATATTGACGGTCGGCATTTCAAGTTTTTGCCCGCTGGTTCCTTGGTCATCCGAACTTTCGGTCACTTAGCTCCCGATCGGGAACCAATAGAAAGTTTTCCATTCGCCGACGTCTTGACGAATCGTGATTTTTGGGAGTCGCTCGGCGACTGAGATGTCAAGATCGTTGGAGCCTTGGCCCTGGATTCGCTCCTCGCGCTCTCCATCGGAGGTTCCGAGCGCTGACACCTGATCAGCATCAGGGGCTCGTGCAGAGCGGTATAGTCGCGCTTTTGGGAGATTTGCCAAAACGGAGTCTAGCTGAAAGTCAAAGGTCCGGCTGCTGTCGTCTCGCCGATGACGTAGTCCCAGTCGGCTGAAGTAGGATACAAGCGGGAATCACTCACAGAACTCAGCCAGCGGGGCTCCTTCTTCTTTCTGTAGGTATTCGGAGGCTTGTTGAGCCCAGTCTGTCGCAACTTCCACAAATGATCGAGTCGATAAGTTCTCGATAACAGGTTCCAAAACTCCTGCTTGGATCAGTCCAAACAGGGATAACATGTTACCGAGCGCACACAGCAACGGTGCTCCACTCAACTCCTCAGATAGGCGCACATCAGATCAGGCTGATCTTTTCGATAGAACACATCATTTTGCTACACTTGCGCAAACCGAAGTCCCTCGATTTTCCGCATAGCAGTGTCGGTGTGTGCGCTGTCGTTTCGGATGGGAGAGAACAACTGTGTTTTCTTACCACGCCGGATTGGAGAAACAGCGCCCCATCTGGCGGAACGTGAGGCAAACTGCGAACCGCTGTGGCCCCTCGCCTCAAATTCTGTGGCATGACAGCATTGCTCGTCGTTCTGCCATTCGGACGCTTATCAGCAGTCGGTGCACGAGAAGCTCGCGCAGCATCGAAAGTTCGTCGATTTCTGACAGATATCCCGACGCACTGACTCCAGAAGATCCGATAGTCTCGATGGATCATGATAAGAATCGATAAGCGCGAAGGCTGTCTGCCATGTTTAGAAGTTTCCAGTGCTCTCGGGATGCGTGACTGCTCTGAGGCTCCGGGAGCTCAAAACTCGGAGAAGTCGGTCGTGACTGCCTCAGAGATCAAGGGCTTTCCTCTTGCCTAAACTCGGGGAGAACCCCTGCCGAAGCCAGGCCCCAATCATGCGGAATCGAATCGTTTCGCAGGGGGCGCTGCCCTATACCGTTGAGCACGGGCTTTTCGACCTCCCCTGCTCGCGGAGCCCTCGCAAAAGATTTCAAGCAGACCCAGGCTCGATTTCGTGCGCTCCAACAATTTCTGGCTGCCGGTTTTGGACAGCACTCCGGTCCTGTGTGATCCTGGGCGAACCAAGACCCCTTTCACCCTCCCGCCTCCTTTCCTGGAGTTCCTGGTCTCACGACTAGTTGGACGTGCGCGATCCATCATGGATAGGACCCGATGAGGCTTTGCGGTCTGCCGATCGGATGAATCTGCGGGCTCCCATTGTCGGACCTTCTGTAATCCTGATTGATGCACACCACCGCCCCTTGCTGGATTAAATCTGAACGCTCAGGATTGTGGGAATTCCGCGCTCTCCTCGTTGAAGAAGTCCTATTGCTCCCAATAGAAGAGATCTGATCGAGAGAATCTGCGTCCGCCTGATTGGTCTGAGCCGGAATTCTCTGATTGATGAGCTGTTCCCCCCCTCATGACAAGGTTTGCGTTCTCCTGATTGAGAGCCTCGTCCTTTCCTAGGCCGACGGGGTACGTATTCTCCGCCTCGATGGACTCTGCGGATTCCCTAAGCTACTGACTCTATTGCGGCTGCCTTCTCTCTTCAGGTGGGACCCAGAATGTCAAAGATGGGATCTGCGTCCCGCGGATTGACGTGATTCACGTTCCCCCGATGAGATCTACTGCATCCTAGCGGGTGAGCTCCGCGTTTCCCTGAATCAATGCGCTCGACGAGCTCTCAATCGATGAGATGGACCTTGACCCGAGCCATCAGCTTTCCATCCATCAACTTTTCTCCGCGGTGTTTCACGGAAGTTTTCCCGACGACTGAGTGGACGCGGTGGGGACGAGAAGTATCTGGCATAAGCCGAAATTATCGTATCGATACGAGCCCGTCCTGGAGAACGGGAAAAACCTTCGTGTCTTCACAATCGATATATTACCCTTCGCCCGCACGCGAATGCTATGCCCGTCTCGCAAATGAGTACTTTCCGAGGAGTTCCCGAAAGTAACGGTTTTCTAGTTTGTGCGGGACGGCGAAGAAAGCGCCGAACCTGCCGGCCAGAAACTTTTTTCGACAGTGTCTTTGCCAGCACCGTCCTGCCGATTCTTCACTGTTTCTCCACGCGAGTCGGGTCCAGTTATCGGCGAGACCGGAGCCCAAACCGGCTTCCAGTATCAGGAACAGGGGCTCCAATGTCTCACAGGCGACCAGCACCGGTCACGATGGCTGAAACTAGTCGAGATGGATTTGATTCGCTCATTTCTCGAAAGATCATAGTTTCCCCTTCAGGGAACCCTTTCCACGTGGATTGAAGCTCCGTACACGACCTCGGTTCACGAGCTCGGACATGATGTGACGGATAATTCAGCGACTCGCCCGAGACAAGGACCCCTAGCCCTCACGATCGATGCCAGAAATGCTCTCGATCCCCACGGAAGTATTCGTAGTTGAGCTGAGTGCCCGGGAAAAAACGTGAAGACCCTACAACGCCCCAGGAAGTGCGAGGAGCTCCCCTTATTATTCCTGGAAGACTCGGGATCCCCGAGGGGAGAAGTTACGAAACGAGCTCCTTTCGAGCGCGAATTCCACTCCGATCCGAATGTGATGAATATCGGACATGCACAATCGATGGAATGCATTCGATGAGGAGATTCATCGCCAAGCGTAGCGGTGAAAACTTGTTGATTCAAGAAGCGGAACAGCGCCCTCTGACGTCGACGGGCAGAAGCGTCGATGCCGTGCGTTCTGTGGAAGACAATCTGCCGTCAGTCAGTCCGCTAGCGGTAGTGAGAAGTGGAACTTGTCGCTAGGGAAGCGACCAACGGAAGCTACAGCTGCTGGTGAAGGTACCAGTGGAGGCGGTGCTGAGGAGAAATCGTTCCATGTGCTCTCTTGAGCGTAAGGTGAGTGCGTTTGAATGTACCCGCGAGCGGAATCTCGCTGAATCGAATCGCTCTCGCACTCGTCCCACCACGACTGGCCCGTTGACATCCTCTACTTTTCACGGACCTCTAATCCACAGGGTGCGTCGTCGTTCCCTCCGCTCGATCGAAAATTGCTCTCGATAGTCATGCGAGAGTTGATGACTGTTTGGCCGATTTTCGAATCGCTCGTTCGATGTTGCCTGCGGGAAGCGGAGATCACGTCATTTTTCTTTCGGTCCAATTTGGGGATCCGGAAGTGACGGCGGGAGCTCTCCGAAAGACGAAGAATTTCAACTCTCGCGAATTATTTGCGAGAGGGAATAAATTTGAGACTTGTTCGTTGATAGATGTATCTCAGAGAGCTCCATCGCGCTCTCTCGGAGCTTGGAGTCAAGTATCGGTGTTTTCGTCGTCGATCAGATCACTGCGATTGTTCCGCATAGTAATGGAGATTTTCGATGATAATGTGCGGATGGCGGTGATGGTCCCCTGCAGCACGTCTCATTCTTCTCCGATGTCAACGGGCTGGTCCCGTCATTACTCGCCGCGTCTACGAAAGGCTTTCTGAAGTTTTGAAATGAAATTCTCTGCGGTGCGATTCATTCATGCGATCGGCGTTGAGCATCCGGATTTCCCTGACGGACGAAGCTCACTCTGTTCACCTATCCACCCTTCTGCCCGTTCGTGGAGTGTCACACCCACTATGAAATGACTTTACGGGGAACATGGCTCTGTAACGGTGTGGTCGGAACCTGACAGACTATATCGGTTTTATCACGGTCTCGCTCCAACTTTGGCCAATCGAAAAACTGTCATGACTGGAGCTCGGATTTTTCTCTCCCCGTGAAAGCTAAGGGGCACCAGGGTCCAGGAAGCTTCTCCCTCTTGGGAAAGCTGACATGACAGTGAGCAGACGTCAGATCTGACGTCCTGATGGGGATTCCCGATGTGCATCACTGGCTGGAACATCAACCGAAAGACTCGAATATTCTTTTCACGAACGTCACTGAAAGAAATTCGCGTGGATTCACTTTTCGACTCAAGCCGTACAGGACTGATTCCTTTGAATGGGCGTTCGATGGTTAGAGGAGGAGGCACAGCTGTGTCTAGACCGAGAATCCAAGAGTCGTATCGACCCGCGAGCTGTCTACCTGAGTATATCGGAGAAAAAAACGCTTAGCCTCTGACTTTGAAGCGAAAAATAAGATCAATCCTCGAGAGATGGGGTCTCAAGTCCTTCATCCTTGAGCTCCTTCAACGCTCCAGGATTGCACGGATCGATGCAGGAGGAGTTTTTCGAAATCGATCAATTTGATGTGATAAGCTTTCGGAAAGACGATGGATTTCGCTGAGAAATCGGACCAAGACTCCACTACTGGAGATGAGCACGAATCCGGGAAGAAACGTTCCTGTCGAAAATTCCGTGAAAATTCAAATTGTGAATTATGATGTCTCCGAGTCTGATGAAAGAATTCTCGGGTACTCTCCCCTCAAACGCGTGAGGAGCCAAGAGCGAGTGCCAGATTCTGGTCAGGCCCGCTCAGTAGTCAACACTTCTGGCGAAATCAGAGAAGCTTCTGGGCTTCCAGAATGAAGGAAAGTTACGAACTTCGCTCCCGCGTTTGAATGTTGCGTAATTCCTCCTCCTCTACTCTTCCAGTGACCGGATCCGAAACCATGCCGTCGTACGACCGTTTCAACAATGATAGTAACAATGTCAGCAGCAACAACGACATAAACAACAAAAGAAACAGAGCTGGTAACGATGACAGCGATGACCACACGGCCGGCAGCGATGGTGGAAAGGATAAACTCAATAACAATATTTCGTCGGTCGCCGAAACTCGCCTGAGCATGGGTGTTGGTGACTACGACAAAACCGCCGACGATGGAGGTCATAAACTCAACACAGACGCCCTCAACCAAACGCCGCTAGAACACCATATATTGCGACGGATAGTTCATCACCTCGCTTTCAGACTCTTATCATTAATTCTCATACTCATCGACATCGCGATCCTGATTGCATCCCTCAGGGAAAATCCTGAAGGAGATGTGCAACGGACCTACAACTACATTGCGATGGCGTTCTCCGTCGTTTTCATCGCGGAGCTCTGTCTCCGGGTTTATACGCAAGGGTGAGCTTTTGAATCGAATTATAGATTTTTCGAAGCCCTAGTTCACGATCGAATCGTGCTTACTTTGGTCACCGACCGGGAGAAAACACGAGAAAATGGGTCCTTACGGTGTCATGACGAAATTGGTGCGAGCGAGACTCCATCGGGCCGCCCACCGTGATTTTCGCGGGAGGAGCGAATCGGAACCCCCATTGGAATTCTTACGGCTCCGGCGCTCCCTCGATCCGGGAATGAGGCCTGTATGGGGTACCCGACGCTCCTGTCATTCTCTGCGGAGACGATGACGGAGGAGGGCCGTAATTATTCAGGAAACCCTTGATAGCGCTCTGCAAGGTGCTCAGACACGCTGCCCATCTGAAAGCACACAACTAGGCGGAAGACTAAGTTTCTAGAAGAGAAGTGCTTCTCTCAATCACGGGGAGAAACACCCCTACCGGCTAGCGGAGGTCGACAGGACAGTGACCTTTTCTGGAGGAGGAAGTGTGCTTTTGCTGTTTATTGTCAGTTTCTCTTGAATCTATTGCGAAGTGGAGCAGCGCGAAAAAAAGTCCGATGACAGTTCCAGAGCCAAAAGAGTAATTGGCGCTTGAGGCGCCTTCCACGGAATTCTGAGTTCAGGCTGGCTCACTGCATTGGATTCGTCGGGAGACAGCTTTCGCGGGGCGCTCTAGATGCGGTTGGGACAAGGGCGCTCAAAGAAACTTGTCCCAACCTCTAAATATTATTTCGCTCGTCTTTCAGCACATCGGATTTTTTCTCAAAATGGTACAATAAAGTGGATTTCTGCATCATCGCACTCACGTTCGTGGGTTCGGTCTCGGTGCTCCTGATTACGGACTTAAAGCCAATCCATCGTTTCCAAAAGTGAGTAAAGTGGTCAGACATGGTCGCATCGAATGCTCCGATAAGGTCCGCGCCTTCACTCAGACAGCCGACGTACTCACCGGTATGCAGCGGATGAATCGCTTGCATACCTCGGAGATTGGAGCTTTACTCCTCGGAATCAGAGGAGATTCACCAAGATCATCCTCACCGCTCTGGTGCCGCGAAGAGTTTTCCACGAACAAGATTCCATTAATCGAGTTCAGCCGGGGATCTGAAGTTACGGGAAGCAAAATCTTCTTTTGCAGAGCCGTTGTTTTGGGTCGACTCGTCCGCATTGTTGGCTTTGTTCGTTTCATGCGGTTCTACACCGAGAAAAAAAATCTAACCAAAGGGGCTCGACACGTTATTTCTGAGAATAAACGACGCTTCCAACAAGACGGCTTTGATCTGGATCTTGTCTACGTGACATCACGGATCGTCGCGATGAGTTACCCGAGCTCCGGGAAGATGTCGTGGTACCGCAACCCGATTCAGGTAAACCGTTCCAGAATTTTCTCAGAGCGGAGAGTTTTCCGAGAGTTCCTCTCCCTCTCCTATTGTTCCTACTCCATCAAAGAAGCTCTTTCGGATCGATTCGAGCTCTCTGTCCCGGGACAGGAATTTGTTTACTTCTCTTTAGTAGCTTATTGGTACATTAAGGAGGTTTGACGGATGTTTCTCGATTCAGGATGTTGAGCGATTCTTCCGGACGAAGCACCCGAAGCATTATATGGTATGCAATATGTGTAGCGAACGTACCTACGACGATTCTCACTTCGAGGGAAGAATCCTCAGGTTATCCATCGACGACCACAACGTCCCGCTGCTCGCGTAAGTTGATCGCTCTCAAGAATCCCCTCCCCAGGAGGTGGAACCCATTGGTGGGCATCGAATCGTGGATTCGCGAACGGGTCTAATTGACGGCACGTTGAGAACTAGAACTGAGCAGGAATCGTATTTTTTTTTTACCGAATTCACAGGGAGGCTCTGAGCTTCATCAACAAAGCGCAAGCCTTCCTTGACGAAGATCCAGACAACGTTATCGCCATCCACTGCAAGGGAGGCAAAGGCCGTACTGGAACTCTCATCTGTATGCTCCTTATAAACAACAACGTATTCGAATCAGCGAAAGTGAGTTTCTATCTTGCCTTATCCATATTTCCGGATCTTCTGCCGTCGCTGAGAAGTACATGGAAGGGGCGGGTGAGTGAAGAACGGAGTCCACCGAATCTCAGACATTTCCGAATTCGCTTCTAGGAATCTCTTCAGTACTTCGGCGAAGTGCGTACCGATCTCACTGTGGGAACGAAGTTCCAGGGCGTTGAGACGCCATCTCAGAACAGATATGTTGAATACTTCGAGCAGATCAAGAATAACTTCTCAATGCAAATGCCTGCACCGGTGACAATGAAGGTGACCCACATAAAAATTTGGGGAATCGGCGGACTTGGCAAAGGCAACGGCTCCGATCTGAGATGCGAAGTTTTCGAAGGACGGTCACAGGTACGTTCAACGTCTCATGCCCGCTCTTGCATACTTACCTATTTATTCATCCTGCATTTGTTGTATTCATTTGCTGCCCTTAAATCTTTGGTCCAGAGAAGTGCACGCGAGTGTACGGAATCGCTCCATTCTGAAGCAATTCACATGAGACGGTGTATTCGATTCCCAGGTCTTCGACATGAACTTCGGAGAGTGCAGGAACTGCCGCGTGATCCACGATCCGGAAGCCAACAGTTTGACGGTTTCCGCAGTCAATTTCCCCGTAGTCAAGGGAGATGTCAAATTCCGTTTCTATTCCAACAGTCTATCTGTACCGAAGGGATACGAGAACTGTGCTTTCTTCTTCTGGTTCCACACATCGTTCATCGATGGAGACTCATTATCCTTGCACAGGGACGTGCTGGATAACCCGCACAAGAAGAAGACGTGGACTTCGTTTGGCGACGATATGATAATCGAGCTCAAACTCGCCCGGCAGTGAGAACTCAAGAAGGTACAGATAGCCTTCAATTCAAACATTCCGCCGCGCAGCCGCTAGAATAGTTCCTAAGGTTTTTCGGGAGCGGAATTTCCCGTGGAGGAAAGTTTCGCGCAGGAGCCGACATCGGTACACTGTGAACGCCGTCATGTGTAGCGTGAGGCGTGAGTCAGTGGTCGGGAGAGTTCGAGGAGAATCGACCACTCTGTTTTAAACTGTTCAAATTTCTATGAGAACTTTATGCTTCCACGTGACGTTATTTCGACCTTAAGTGACGGCTATTGTGAAATGCAATCGACGCTATTTATATCTCAGTGTACAATAAATATTACTATGAGAGTTCGGACTTGAATAAGTCGATTCGAGAGCTTTTATTGAAGTTCCTGAATATTCCTTCAATCCGAGAGCGCATCATCACCTGCCTTGATTGGTGAGCAACATCATTCGCCGAGTTCGGAGACCTGGTCTGGATCTGGATGTCTTCAGGGATGCATTCATGCCATTCCACCGAATTCTGTCAGATGGGCTAACATGATAATATTGTGGATTCCCACCATCGGGAGCCCGAGGCTACTCCGGTTTCCGAGCCACACGCACCGAGTTGAGCTTCCGATCGGAAGGGACATGAGGCAGAGATGATGTTTCGGGTAATTACGGTGGCTGTTGGATCATCAATGGAATCACTGCTGCGCGTACTGCGATTAGTGATGACAGCAGCTTTGACATGTCGCGAAAACCGACACGGATGATTGGATAGCACGCTGATCCATTCATCAACAATGATGCATTTCGGAATGCGATACGGAATTCCACGAGCGGTACCGCTCTCCCTGAACCTTGGATGTTCGACACAGAATCAATCGTCGGTATGGGGGACCACCAGGATGCTGAGAATAAGTTATACCGGCGCTCATCGATCCTCTCTCCCACGGCTCTCCGCCAGGGAGCGCTCGCGTCTGAACACAAGATCATCGAATATCTGAGAATGTAGAGTATCGACCAGAGCACGGCACAGGGCCGTTTTCTGGTGGTATCCTTCCTGAGACATACAAACCGGGCAGTCGGAAACTCCAGGAATCCTCCGCGTCTTCCCTAAATTCCTCTCGCGTCTGCCCTGGTAGACGCGTCCCTCTAGTTTGAGAAATGCTCAATTACACGACGGCAATCCTTTTCGACTCACCTTTCGATCTTGCTCCTCTACGGCAGGGATTCTCATGCGGTCTGAGTGGACCCTTAAGAGGCGATGTTCGGGCCTTCGTGCAGTTCAACAGGTGGGGTCCTTGGGGTCCCCGGATCTTGTGCAGAGGCTCCATTCTATGGTGACCAGAGACGATGAGCTCGTCGGGCGTGAGATTCCTCGTCGCTCCATTCATGGAGCTCAGAGAACGCTCAGGAGGCTCCAGTCTTGTTAAGTGAGGACTTCATCATGCGAAATTCGTATTTCGCTCCGCGAGGCTCGGCTCGACATGAGTGCCCGAGTGTCGTCCATGCGCGTTTCACTTGCGCGTACGACGACATCTGACAGGTCGCGAATGTTTGGAATCGTCTGAAGAAGTGGAGTCGCTCCCCCTCTGATTCGGAATCGTTCGTGTCGATTCGGGTGTTCTCGCTCTCTAAGGAGTTATCTCCGTTCTCAAGATGGGACTCAAACAGTTACAGAACGAGAACGCTGTGCTCGATCGTCGGACAACGAAGGAGAACCGTGCAGCGGCACCGCTGAAGAACGCCGTTCTGGGCAGACCGGCAGTTATCTCTAATGAAAATGCTGGGAATCCCGCGATCCGAGAAACGTCCGAGAAAGTCGAATCGTGCTCGGAGAAAGCCCTCAAACAAGCGGTTGAGACGACGCGGCCAAAGAACAAAAGCGAGTTCGCATCTCGACCCATCGATATTGAGGACATCGATGCAGGCGATGATGACTACCCGGAATTCTGTCCTGACTACGTGAAACGAATCTATGATTATCTGTTCGATCACGAGCTCAAGCATCCGGTGAAAGCCGACTTCCTCAAAGAACACCCAGAGTTGCGGCCGAATATGAGGATGATACTTATAGAATGGCTCGTGTCGCTCACAAATCGCTTCAAACTCCTGCAGGACACACTCCTACTCTGTGTTTCCATCCTGGATCGAGTGCTCTCGACGTCGAAGATAAGGGTCAACCGCTCAAATTTCCAACTGTTGGGTGAGTCGAACGGATCAGCCTCGATGTTGGTTCGACGCCCCCGATCTCGAGAGATATTACGAACGGATGTGAAGATGTGTCTCTCTGAGCTCTACGTCTGAATTCCAGGCGTGACGTGTCTATGGACGGCCTCAAAGTACGAGGAGATGTACATGCCGTCAGTGAACGACTTCGTGTACATGTGCGCAGGCGCCTACGACCGTCGGGACGTTCAGATCATGGAGGTCCGTGTCCTCACGGCGCTGGACTTCGAATTTTCGAAACCGCTGAGCTGCCACTTTCTTCGACGGTTCTCGAAAGCCGCCGGCGGAGACTTCAAACTGCACACGGTGGCCAAGTACCTGATTGAATTATCGCTGTATCGGTACGACCTCGTGGACTGTCTCCCCTCGCTGATCGCCGCAGCGGCGCTATACGTCGCAGGCAGGGTTACTCAGCAAATGACGTGGGACAAGACCATGCGGTTTTACAGTAGATACGGGATCGGAGATTTGAAAGATGTTGCTCTGAAGCTCGCCGAGACGGCAGTTAAGGCCGACAAGAATAACAATCTGAAAACCACGGTGAAGAAATTCTCGAGCGAAAAGTTCTTCAGGGCTTCGACTCTCTTCAAAACGGCTGGACTACTGGAGGGACTTTTCTCGGGACAAGATAGCAACGAAGAATGATTCTACCCCTAATATCTACTTTAAATTCTGTCCAAGGAAAATGAATTACGGAGTGGACTTTCTCGTTGGGCTCGTGCAGATCGGGGATCTCCTAGCCTGACCTGTCTCATGCGACTTTTTAGTGAACCCAAAGCTTCATATCATTTTATCGTTACGGAATATAATGGAGAGAGGCGAATTTCCGAGGATCTTGAGAATTCTTGATTGTTTTCAATACGACGCGCGTCGATCCCATCAGAATTCCGTCCGGATTGAGTTCCCCTCGACGCTCGCCGGTGGTAATACGAGAGAATACCACCAATGGAACCCCTAATCCTGACGTATCGAGAGCCCTAATCAGGAGGGATGGACAATGTACAGAAAACAAATGGGATAGAATTTTATTTTTCTATGAGGCGGATTGACGTTTTTCCGTGGACGATTAGAGAAGTGGAAACAGCCCCTTCACAATCACCCGGTGGCGGCCGCATAAGAGACTATATTTACACTGAAAGAGCTACCAGAACTCCTATCATAACACCGCTGTTCTATTGCGCAACATTTTCGATGGTCTCAAAGGCAAAGTAGTGTTCTCAGTATTAGTCGGCATCGTCAAAGCGCGCGGCATGGGGAACTTCAGTTTCGGGGTCGCTTTGACCTTCCCCGAAGGCTGCGCTTTCGGTGTTTCCGCGATGGCCGAAAGTAGGCGCTTTTTTCTTATGGAGTTCAAGTTCTCCTTGACGGCGGAGCTCTGGAAAGCTCTCGACATTGGACCCTTACTCGAATCGCCGACGGGAGTTTTATGCGGACCAGGAGTTCGGGCAGCAGGAGTTTTCGGGACGCCTCCGGGCAGCTTCAGAGGTTCCGTTCGACTCGCTTGGACATTCATCTCGGACAGAGGGAGGGTCTTCGCTCGCGCTTCGAATTTCCGTACGAGCTCTGGTGTTCTATCGGGCGCGATCGGATGAGACTCTGGTTTTTTCCCTTGGGTCCCTCGACTCTCTGACTGCATATCGTTGATTCTTGTTTCAAGACATAAGCGACTCTTGTGCGCCGTGACCCCCGGTGGAGGAGGTGTTCGAGCGGATTTTTTCTCCGAATTGACCGAGGTCAGTGTCGGCGTAGAGCGTCGTTGGCTTTTTTCGAGCTAGAAAAAGGGAGTGGGGGAGTCACACCTTTTTCACGGGACGGCGTCTTGAAACGAGGCTTTTTCTGGCATGACATTGGCAGTTCCGGCGTTGTGCTCGGTTTTGAGATGACTTTCGTGCTCAGCAGGCATGTTGATTCATCCGCGTCTTGATCCTGGATAGCGACGTAGCGCTTGTGGATGTTCCCGGCGTTTGGGTTCATAAAGAACGAGACTCGTTCCTTCATTTCGGGCGTCGTGTCCCGGGTTCTCATTTGCGGTACAGGTAATCGGATGGTCTGGGACTTCTCCTCTGTTCGGACAGGAGGAGGAATTCGAGGAGGAATCGAGACCGCCTGAGAAACAGCCTCCCTGAACTTCACAATCCTTTTTGGCATCTGAGGCGTGCATTTTGGAGACGCGAGCGGTCTTCCTGCAGGAAGCTTCCTGGCACTAATCTTCGAGATTACAACGGGGCTACAATGAGCTATGAATTTATTCTTGAGCAAGACTTTCGCCATCGAAACCGGGGTATGCCGTCTCGGAGTTGCGATGCCCCTTCCGGCAGTGATGCTGACACCTCGGCGACGAAGTTGCGGCGTTCCCTTCGACGGCGTCCAGAGACCCGCTTCCGTGTCGACTCGACTCTTTGCCTTAGGCAACAAATCCTCGAAGGGATCCTCGCGGCAGAGCTCGAGAATTTTCGGGATCTCTCGGCGTAAACATTCCTTCATCTGCCGGGCTCTGTCATTGAAAGCCTTCGCACGGTTCAGCTGATCGTTCACTTGAGCTTCGAAATTCCTAACTTTTTGTAGCAGCTCTGTTATCGACCAGGACTCCGCAGCGATCGCCGCCGCATCTTGGAGTGTATGCGAGAATTGCACGTCCCGCTTCGGGTCTCCCATCTCCTGGGAGCAGAAGAGTACTCAATAAGGAACGTCTGCAGTGAGAAGTCTCTTCGCTATCAAAAACGCCGAACGCGGAGTCTTCGTCATATAAGCTCCAGGAGACTCTATGAATGGAGTCCGGGTGAGAATCTCTGATCGGTGACGAGCTTTCGACAGCGGGTAGAAACTTGGAACAATTTCCGACTGCCGGGTGTGAAAAGAGGGACTCACAATTTGAGAAATCTTGGCCTCCCCAGAAACAGTTACCACCAATGCATTCGTCTCGAGTGTAAGATGGAGCTCCCCTCCGGCACGAGGTCCCTCGAAAATCGGAACGGAAATCCGCGAGGAGAATTTGCTCGGTTTCTTCCGCGAATTCTACGCGTGAAAACCGCCAAAGATCGACTTGTGATTCAAAAAGATTCGCGTCTGCTTTCAGCTGTTCGTGTTTACAAGCTCCGAAAATGCGGGAGGCCGGGAAATCGTCATCATAGACGGGAGCGCTGAACTCTGATCTTCGCCAAGCCGCTCGAATGTTCATCGAGAGTGGATTGCCAATTTTTTTCCGCGTTCATACGATAACAATCTAACGATATCTTCATCTAGACACCGGTTCGGAAAGAGTCCCGTCCGCTAGGCTAAGCGACGGAAGTCCGCTCACGCTTCGAACATCTGAAAGCGAGTTCGGTGTGAGAACAACGGGAACTGTTATGTTTTGATTGATGAGTGGAAAATGTTCGAGTGCCGTTCCTGAGATCCCGTGATGCTCAGCCTGGGCCCGTGATGGAGTCGGTAGCCGCGGAAAACTTCTGAATTTCGATCAATGTTCCTCACTGCTGCGGATTCGAACGCTCGCTCATCGCTCAATCGCTTCCCGGAATTCATCGGCGCTATCTTCCGGTGTAGTCTGAAAAATTCATTAGTTTAACTCAAGACTGAAATGCACGCGGATTCAGTGAGGTCGGGTCCTCGGCCGTCCGAGGTACTGGACGAAGGAGTGCTGCTCTGCTCCGGAGGCTACGACAATGTTATAAAAGTTTGGAGCGCTTACTCCGGCACCTGCCACCAGAGATCTCTCTCGCACACAGAAAGCCAGGTGAACTGTTTACACATCACACCTGACAGGTGAGGAAACGCGCTAGACCCGAATTAGAATGATTGTAGCATATCCAGGGCGATCCACTCAGGGGTGCACTCGACAGCGTCTCATTGATTCCCTCACTGCGAAATGATTGCAGATCCTATTTCGTCGCCGGAGGATACCAATGCGTTAGGTTATACGATATAAACTCAAAGAACAATAATCCCACCGTCACGTACGACGGAATCCTGAAGAACGTCACATCTTTGGGGAGCCATGAAGACTTCTCATTCATGTTCACAACCGGGGAAGACGGCTCCGCCAGAATATGGGATCCTAAAGATTCAAGAGGTAGGTTCGGGGCACATCTCATCGAATAGTACCGCGGGAATTTGAGACATGGGTGGTCCAGGAGTCTCGTGCTCATCTCGTGGGTTCTACGACACGAGTATTTAACTTGAACTACTTACGATCCTCAGGGGGAAGTCAATGCCATCGAATGTTCGAAGCGAAAGCTCCTTTGAACTTCGGTGTATTGCACCCAAATCAAACGTGCCTGTTCGTCAGTGATCAGCAAGGCTCTATATATATGTGGGACCTGAGAAATAATTATAACGACACCATAGTTCTGAATAAAGAAAGCTCTATACAATGCGTGGACATCGACGCCCAGGCTAGATACGCCTGTGCCGTCGATAACAAGGTATGACAGTTTCTGATGTGCAATTATTTGCGTAGCCCCATACGGAGGGAATTATTAGATATTTAAGCGCTCCATACGTTTGCTCCAGGGGTTCATGTACTTCATGCGACTGGATGAGCCGGTTGGCGAAAAGTCTCCATTTTTCAACGAGTTCCGAACCTCTTTGAAGATAGCCGCTCACTCAAAGTACGGACTCAAATGTAAATTCAGCCCCGACGGACAGAGTGTCGTCACGACATCGGCCGACACGACTGCCAAGGTAAGATTTGCTGACGACGTTGCCCTCAATACGCCCAATACCGAATTTCTAGGAGCAGGGGGCTTGCTCGCGGATCTTTCAGTCCGTTTCGGATATCTGCGTGTTATCCGGTCTGTTGCTGATTTTCTGATCTCCCTATTCAGGTCTGGGATGTGCTCGAACTGGAGCGGCGGCTCGATGAGCAATGCAGCCTTAATGTCGACGAGATGGAGTTCAAGGAAGCCTCCATGGAACCAAAGATGGTTGGTGCTAGGTGTTCTGCGGAACCGATTGTTTCTTCCCCTTCTCGGAGCTTCGCTTATTGACATGACCTCTTTGATCCAGGTACTGAAACGTGAAAACGTGCAGCGGTGGGTATGGGACCTCGCCTTCACGATGGACTCGGAAAACCTTTTCACGGCTTCCTCGGATAACATGGTCCGTCTCTGGAATCTGAAGTCTGGCGAGGTTGTCAGGGAATACACCGGTCACACGAAAGCTGTGATCGCTCTAGCTTTCATGGACAAGCCGGTCGAGTGAATGGCCTGCTGAGGCTCTGCGGATGAGGATGCTCGACCTTTCAGGAGTTAGGCAAATTATGAAAAATAAAGTCGCTCAATTGAGTCGCCTCCGAGAATGGAACGAGCGAGTGTCATTGTTGAAAATTTTTCGTTGCTTCCTCCGACTGCGAACATTCCGACCATGTTCTTGACCCCTCGACGAGCGAGCCGCCCGAGTCGCGGAGCTTGCTGGCGGGCTGTCGGGAGAGCTCGGCCAGAAGCTCTCCGGCGACTTGAACCTCGAGCGAGGGGGAGAAGTCAAATATTGCATCGATGGTCTGCGCTGAGAATGCGATATATCTATGGGAGTCATCTTTGTATACTCGGTGTCTGTCTCACGGGATTCGGAAGGTTTCGCGCCACCGAAATGCTCCTCGAGACAGAAGAAAGCCTTCGGGAATTTTTTTCTCATCTCACGACGCGCTCATTTATTCAGACAAACTCTCCTCCCACATGAGGTGGGGAAATGGCTGGAAGGGAACATCGTTCTCAATATATGTACATATGTTTTCCGGGAAGAACCAATTCGCCGGTTTGAGTTATTCACTGCGGAAGTTTCTCCCCCGTGTTGATTATACTCTGCGTGATCAGTCCCGATCGGCAGAGAAGACGCCGGATACTTGGTCTGCCATTCAAAAAAAAACAATGTCTCCCGCGAGACCAGAAGGCTTCCATTGGCATCGGCAACGTCAAATAGGAAGGATTGACTTCACATCTTGAAAATTCTACCCGTGGGGCGTAGGTGGCGAAACGGCACAGATCCGGGTTTTCGAGTAGACAGCTTTGAGCGCAAATAAAGGAACCGGGGGATGGGGTCCGAAACGAGGGATTGTTCCGATTCGAATCGTTTTGTGAACCTCAGGAAATTTCAGCGGATTCTAATTGCGAGGCTCTCACTCGGGCAATCCCGATGCAAGGCCACCACCGACTAGACGAGATGAATCATATGATTCCCCGTTGAGGGAGCGTTCCGGGAGAAAAAAAATGCGGACCGAGAGTAGCAGTGGGATTTTTCCCTCGTACGGAGGAAGAAGAATTCGAGCATCGGGAGAGCGTTTGTTCACGCAGCGTTTCCGGGAATATGAAAAATCAATCCACCATACAATCGGCCACCCTCTCGTGCTAAGGTCCCATCCTTCCATATCACACGGCGAATTTCATCCGTCGGCGAGACGGACGCGACGATCGCCTCGAATTCACTATTGGGCCATCTGCATCTGTCGCTGTTCTGTATGCCGTTGTTGCTCTCTCTGCTGTCTCTCGTAATTGACGAGACGTCTCCCGACGAGGTACTTGTCGTTGCGAATATGCTCGTAGAGTCTTCGGAACTGCCTCCACTGGAATACAGCGTAGAAGCTGAAGAAGCTCACGATCAGAAGAGACGGATAGATTCTGCGTTGAGCCAGATGGACCGTCTCAACCGTGACGAAGCGCGCCAGAACCGAATGTACGAAGATATACGGTACACAGAGCGAAAGCCCCAGAACGGCCACGCACGGTAGGACAATGTCACGGAAGATCCGTACCAGGCTCATGTTCCTGAATCCCTCCTGGTAAACCTGAAATAAGACGAAAGACCTGAATTCGATGCGATGCTCGGGGGCGGAGTGAATCGGAACAGATGAAACGGGAATGGACGAATATTGATTGAAGATTCCTCTCTTAATCGGAAAGTTCTCCTGAGCTGCGGTGGGGAACTGACCTGTTCCAGGGAATTTTTGAGCCACCAGTTGGGTCCCATCAAGGTTAGAGCGCCAATGATCTTCGTATGGAAAACCCCTAAGACCCAATCCTGTGATAGATACATAACGGGATTCGCATCCACGGGTACACGAAGCGGAATCATGACAATCAAATCGAAATGGATACCTGGAATTCGAATCTCAATTAGCAGCAGCGAGCTCGGCCCGTCCCACGTCATATCCATCGAATGGCTCGTTCTCAGTGGGATATTAATGTTTCGTGTCCGGGAGGGTTTCTACTGCCCTTCGTTTTCGAGAGGGCTTCCCGGAGGAACCGGGGCGCTCGAGGCTTACCGATGAGCAGAGGGACGACTCCGAGTAGCATGGTACACACTACAACCGCCTTGAGTCCGATGACGAGCGAATCGTAGAGCGATTGGTAAATCGTATTCCACCCTTTCGGGAGCCAGCTCCTTGCGAGTGAGATTCCTCGGATGCAGAGCCAACAAACATAAAGTCCGACTCCGACTGTGTAGAACTCGTGGAGCTTGGCCTTCGGTATGACGATTTTCAAGACCCACTTCCCGATTGACACCGGAACCGTGAGAACGATGAGGCTCACGAGCGTCAGCGTGATGCAGACGCACACGAGCAGTGCCGCGATTCTCAAGGGGAAATACGAAGTCCTCACATACGGCTGATGAGGGGGAATGACCTGGGCGTGTGCCATTGCCTGATGCGCCGCCGCCAACTCACGCGGCTGCTCCTGGGGCTCGACGTATTCTTCGTCGTCGGGCTTATCCCCGAGCAGATAGCTCCGAATGCCGAGGACCGAGGCCACGGCTCGACACCAATGCTTCACGCACCTGGAATGGGGGTCGACTTAGGACGAGACGTTACGTTCCGGGGCGAGCCGGGAAAAATAGAGTAACTTTCTCTTCTTTAGGCATGAGCTCTACGTACCATTTGACGAATTGTTTTGTGTGTCCCTGCTCGAGGAGCGCTGGGAGAACAACTTGGAGAATCATCAGCTCCATTGAAATCTCGGTCGTCGGCATGTCGGCGGTCTGCATTGAGATGTTGTACGGGATCAGCGAAGGGACCATCCGCTTCATGATACGCAGCGGTACCCAGACCATGAGAAGAATCGCGGTACCGAAGACAACCAGCGAAATGAGCGATCTTCTCGCGTGAACCAAGACAGTCATCTGGATCATTTCCTGCGTAAACAAACACAAGATGAGTCCTCGTGGCTCGAGGTCGACTCGGATGAATCTAATCAGAACTCATTCGCACTGGGGAGAGACAATCCGGGAAAAGAACAATATGAACCCGGAGTCGACGCTCTTACCTGGATCGGGTGGAAATCGGGATCATTGATATTTTGGTGGAACCACAGAACACCCGGCCGCACAACTTCACGCAACATAAAGCCGAAGAACGCGAAGTAATAAATGAAGATCATGCCGATCAACCAATGCAAGAACACGTTGGCGAAAGGAGTGGCTCTGATTTGACTCTGCATCGATGGAAGGGAGTTCCCGAACAGTTCCATGGAGCAGATGTTCAGCCATGCTCCACACATGACCGGAAAAAAGCCGACTTCAGCGATTGTGAGCAGAGACACCTTGATGATGAGGTAGCAAAGACCGATTATGCGTCGCGCTTTTCGGAACCGAGTTCCTTGGAAGAGCATGTACACCAACATCAGGAAGAAGGCGAAAACGACGTATCTGGAATTTCGGAGGCGGGGAAGAGAATTCACATTAGAGCCGAAGGTGGACGTCTTCTGCGCGAATGTCCGCGACGAGGGGCTCGGACGAGAGGGATCACTCTCTCGCTCTACGACCACCAGTGCTCTCCGACTCACCCGATGATTGCGAGGAGAAAACCGCGGAAAACAAAATTCTCCAGTGATTTCGTGAGACCGAGCAAACTTTCGAAACTCTCGCCGATCGAGTACGGAATGAGGGCGAACGCCACCATGAAGAGTGTGTTCAGAGACAATACCCAAAACATGTGCTCCAAAAATACTAGCGACCCATCTAGTCCCAGTAGACGTTGCCAAGTGATGTCTTCACCCCGTTCCCAATCTTGATTCCAGTTGCCCTGAAAACAATCTCGATTAGATCATAACATCTGGAACAAATTTCCAACCGCAATGAGTCCATTACGACTCTCAATCCCATCCGAGAGCTTGATAAACATCAACCCACTTGATCATCGACTTCAGCATTATTGGCGAACGCCACAGGACGGGCGACAGCTTGGACTTCAAGCCCTCTCACATTTACGTTGATAAAAAACGGTTCGTCCCACGCCCTGTGTTGCGGCTCTGCGGCTGCGGCTCCCGGCGGGACGTTCTGTGGCTGATGCAGCGCTGCCTGCTGCTGTTCCGCCTGGAGGTGGGTCAGAATCGAAAAGGTCAATCAGGAGGACATTCGAAACCGGGAGGATCATTATTATCGAACATATTTAAAAATATCTCGGCATGAGACACAAATGGAGGGTCTGCGTACCTCCACGTGAGGGGGGTGCTGCCCGTTGGCATCGATCTCGTTTTCGTTTCCCGGCAGAGGCGGGATGTCGTTCCCGTTAACTTCGATCATGAGACCTTCGTCTCTCGCTTCGGCGGCTTCGCGCTCCTCTTGGCCGCGGGGTGCCGGCTCGAGCCATTCCGGTGCACCCCCATGTATTATCTGCTCTCGGAGCCAGACAATCGCGATAAAGAAACACAGCGATGATATAACAATGACGGAACCGTTGAGTCCGTCCTCGAGAACGTTTTCCGTCGACAGGATGTCGAGCGGCAGAGTCAACAAAGAAGAGAACGACAACGCAAAAATGCACTTGTAGATCCGAGCCGCTATCAGAGGAACTACCAGGAGCCAAGCGATCCACACCTGCACAAAAGGGTAATTTTAGAGTCGGGAATGAGATTCGCAATGTAGAAGCCGGAGCCGTCATCATCGACGTCGTAATTCTCATCGTCTACTACATATCAATCATCAGCGGCGGAAATCCGATATTTACGAGAGTGTAATGCAGCCAGCATCTAAGCGCCGTTCCCACACTTCCGAGCAGACCGTGTACGATATCTTTCGTGGGCAGCCGTTTCGGCATGTCTGGGGAGTATATCGGCATGAACGAGAACTTGTGATTGCATAGTTCGCAGTATTCCTTTTTCGAGTAGCGAAGCCATTGTAGCAGACAATCCTGGTGGATAAATTTTATGGAGCCTGTGCAGATGCAGGGGTAGTAGAGTGGCCGGTCGGCGGCCGCCTCGGTGCGGCACACCCGACAGATGTCTGCAAGGGAAATATTTCACGTCGCCTCACGCTCTTCAAGTGAATTGAATCTCGGCCTAACAATTCATGAATCACTCCCTCCCCAGCGGCTCGAGAAATTCCCGAATCCAGAATCTCCCTCTCGTTTCCCTGGCTGTGAGGTGACTTTTCCGGGGTGAATTCCGGAAGGAACAGAAGAGAGAAATTCTGATGAGAATCTTCCGGATCAACCTCGGAGCTTCCTTATCCACTCCGCCGGATCATATCAAGAGTCTATCTGACAATTAAAGAATCATTTCCTCTGTGACAGCTTGCTCGGTAACGAGGAGAAAGCGATAGCTGCGACAATCTGTTTATCGCTCTGATTGCGCATCGATTCCGATGGGACACCGAAAGCTTCTCGGAGAGTCCCGAGCACATGATACTAGTCCGTTCGACGTTGCCCCGGGAGCGACTTAGCCTGAACAGGTGATCATCTGAAGACCTTTCGGATAAACCCCATGAACCCCGCCCCGATTCGATCCTTTGCGAGCTGTTCGATCGGCACGGGTCTCACTGAGGCTGTTGCTGTTCGTCTCCCTAGCCCGAAGAGCGAAAAATCGAAGTGGAGGACTCGCTTAGTGAAATCTAATCGCAGAAGAGCGCATCTTTCGTGTATGCACCCTTCCTGGGGAAGTACTCGGAGAGGTCGTCGTGGAACATCTAGAGAGATTTGTCCCGCAGGTTTTTCACGCGACGAAGGCAGGTACTCCAGGGAACGCCACGGGGAAGAAAGCACCACGGAGATCACTAATAATTGAAGAAACTTAGTCCAGTAACGCACCTTGGGCCGTATCCTCCTCCATTATGGGACAGTGATTGTTGTTCTGGCGGTGCGACTCATTGCTTCGCGAGGAGCCAAGGTTTCATCATCTGGGAGAGATCAGCTGACGTAGCCCTCTCCCTCACCACAGCGGCATCTCATTGGTTGAGATCGGGAATCAGGAGCCGAATGCTTGGCGCGACACGCGCCTTCAGGTCGGAGACCACGATCCTCGACTGACTGAGGCAACCATGAAAATCTCCTCAAAGGAAGAAGAGTCGCAGCTTCTTGTCGCCTCGTTCTTTATTGCTGCCACTGAATGGACTCGATGTGTTCATCCCATGCCTTGATGTCGCTCCATTCATAGGAACCGAAGCCATCGCTCAGGAAATGATGCGAGCCGGAATAGAGCTGACTGCTCCTCTCAGCGCACCCGAGACTTCCGAGATTCAGGAAAACCCATTGTTCTTTGACAGCTGGAATCGATGCGAACGAGAAGCTGCTACTTATTGTTCGAATGCGGCGTCGACTACGATGTTTCAGCCGGAGGTCACGAGTCATGCCTGACTCGTTTGGAGAATCCCGATGGATTTATTCTTCGCACCGGTCACTATGCTTGTAACATCGCTAACGATTTCCCGGAGGAGAAACTCGACGAAGTTGGTCTGCAAGTAATCAGGAGCCGTAGTCAGTAGCCATTCTTTCAGAGCCGGGAGCCTGGTGAAGTCGGTTCGGCTCTCGATGGAGGTACGGTCACTGGCTCGGCCCGTAAATGCCATCTGCATCTGAAGGCTTTATACTTGCTCACTGACGATAGCGTCGCTTCCGGACGTATTCGGATGCCAACCCGAATGTTGACAATACCTACAATTTTCCAATCGCCCGCTAAAGGCGGATGCCGAAATAATTGAGTACCCCTGAGAGAGCGCTCGTTGCGAGTCGGGCCGAGACCTCGGACCTACCCTGAATTCTCGGCGTTGCTTCTCGGGGTTTTGGAGCAGAGCCTGGCATCGAGACGTGTTGCTGCTTCCGAATGCAGCAGAGACTGATATCTTCATCGAGATCATGGCCGTTTCCCATGAGTTTTCCTCACCGGCTCTGGATCGAACAACTAATTAGGGGATAACAATTCGTTAGTGGGGAGAGGGGTGGGGGCTCTAGCGCGAGGATCAGCAATCTACAGCAGCGTTTCTTCCACCAGGGGGGAAGCGGGAGAAATTCAGGGGAGACGCGGAGGATCTCTGGAATTCCAAACCGACTGATTTCTCGTCTCACTCAAAGAGGTCACCCAGCTCATGGCTAGTCTGCAATAAGTCATTAATCCTTGTAAGATTGGTCGAAGAAGCCATATCCCATGGAGAAACAGGCACTGTGACATGTTCAGGTCGAAACTTTGCATTCTCAGATGAACGGTGATCTCCTTGGGAGACGCGAGTGCCCCGTATAAGGCTTAGGGGAGACGTGGGGGAGGAAAGTTTGAGAACCGCTGATCTAGAGTGTTCTCAATCACCTCACCGGGGACTTCATCATTGTTCCTTCAAGTTCCCTCAATCCGTCCAAGGGATTAGCGGATGAAGATTCCGTTTGATGTATCGATTTTCGTGCTACGAGACTCGATTTCATACCCGCAAGGAAGGTATGGAGATATATCTATCAGGTGTTCCCTTGCGAGCAGGAAAGAATCGTGACTTTCTTTCGACGAGCCCGGTCAGAAAAAAATCCATCCTATTAATTAGGGTCTCTCTCAATCATATGATGTAACATTCCCCATTCGGATTGGAATATTCCCGTACTGATCGAACAGTCTTCGGCCTGTCGTTCCATGATTGAACTTCGGAGCGACGCCTTGCTCATGAACAACTGACGGCAGCTCGCACGCCCCTCACAACTGAACTACTGATGGTAATGCCGCTATGGCGGTCCCTCGAACCGCAATTACAGAAAGAGAGGGCTCTCGAATTGGGCACAACTATGTTATTTTATTCGTCGCGGCACCTGTCGAATCAATGGAACACTATGGAAGCGATCATGTTCGCGCTTCTCCCTGAGCAGCTTTTGGTTCTTCCGCGCCCGGCGTTGTAGTCTCGGTCGATTCGGAAGTTTCTTCCGGCGCTTCAACCTCAGGCTCAACAAATGTTCGCTTCGAGGGCTCCTTAGAAGCCTTCCAATCGGGAATGATCTTCGCATGAAGTCTCCATTGTCCGTATAGATTAGCGATGTGTTTTTCAAAAACGACGTATTCCAGCACGTCTTTCACCAGAACCTCTGAGCCGTGCAATAACCGCCCGAAGCGATCGTATACGGCCAGGGTTTGCTGGGTGTGCAATCGAACCGTCACCTGAAATTGGAAAACGCTCGGAACGGGCACGTTGTTTCCCCGAGTAGAGGCTGGGACTCCGGGAGAATTTGCCTAATTCGGGTTTCCCATGAGCGCGGGAACCGAATCGACCCACCTGGGCAAAAGTATTATCGTTCGTCAACAAACTCTGGGTTCGTATATGAACGACCCGGGCAGGCTCGAGGCTCCCGAGCATCTGCCACCGTAGGGTCTTGTGCTCAACGTTCGCCATCATCTCGGGATACGCGGCCTCCGTGACCTGTGGATCGATCGCATTCTGTCGTAGCTAGAGCCAGATCGATTCAGATTGTAATTCGATTTTGACCGAGAACAGAACTACCGGAGACTCCGGTAAGATTCAGAGCTGAAAACCTGAGCAAGAGCTGGCAAGACTCCATCGTTCGATGCGGAAACTCACTAGACTGAAAAGTTTATCCTGGTCCTGCTCGGCAAGAGCCTCGTGGGCTTTGATGTAGAGGTCGTTTGCCTCACTCGCGAAATCCGCGATGCTGAAATCAGTTTCAAACTGCTTCAGTTTCCGGAGGTGCCAGGTGAAAACTGATTTCTTCTGTAGCTGTTCCATCTTCTGCAACGCTCCGCTCTTGCTTAGCAGTGAAGCTTTGCCGTCACCTGCAAGATTGATCCGCTCATTAGACGACCGAGAGACAGCCGCGAGAGCGACGGCTTTCGATGGAATCTGTCATCCGAGGTTATGATCTAAACTGCAAAGTTCTGAATGCAGGTTCAGAGAGAGAGAGAGCGTTCAAATTCCGCTGTGACGACTTGATTAGGAGTCAGACCTTCGGGTGGCACGTAGGGTTCGATGACGCCGGTCAAGGTGGAGAAGAAAATGGGTTTTTCGTCCCATTTTCTGCACGGAGCTATACCTCTCTTCTTCATTTCCCTTCGCACCTGTAATTTAGGGCGAGATATAAACAGCTGCTGCCTCCCGCTAAGAACCCCTTCGAACCTCTCTGTCGATATTCACCTCATTGCGAGCGATTTTCCCATCGGCCACATCGCGAAATTTTTCGAAGTCCGGCAGTTTGACTTTGAAAACTTTGTTGGCACGATGTTTTTTCCATTTCGGGTCCCGGTGCCGATTATTCATAGCACCTCCGAACATGGTAGCAGCATTCCTGGATCCATCTCCTATTTGAACTTTGCCGAATTTGCATACAAGTTGCGATAAACTCGCACCGCGCACGCTAGCCGACAACATCCTTCATCTGCTTTTATTTTGCTCCCGCTTAAGCGACGGGTCGTATACTTTATCCGACGGAGAACCGGTCGTCGACGACCGAAACTAGAGGGAGAGGGTGTCCCGTATCCGCGCCAAACTTGGATGCGCGATGGGGACTGGCTAAGGATACAACTCATCGAGGAAGATCGCTTTGCCCCAGAATCTACGGAACAGGATGAACTCCCCGCCCCTGAGCTAGGGATCCGTGATCACTCCGGCGACGAGGGCCACGCTTTTCTCCCGATCCGTTTCTCATGGGGATGCCGGCGCTCGCGTGTACCGCCCTCTTCTCCCTCGTACGAATAAGTCGCCGATGGCGTGTTGTAGGTGGCTGGTTGAAGCGTCCCGGGTTGGCGCCTACTAGCAGGGTATATCGTGTTCTCACACGTGGAGAGTCTGTTTGGTGATGTGTGTGCTGCAGATCAATCTGTTACTTGCCTTCGATAGTATCCAATGTCGCCATCTGTTTGAAAGAGATACAACCTGTAACCGCTGCAATCGGCGTAAGTGACCGAGGCCCTCTCATTAAGTAGGCATTCCGGCTGTAAATGTTGGAAAATACGCTCGTGCCTTAAATGCCGCCTAAAGCCCGGCGGATTCGAAAGACGACACGTGCTCCAGAGTATGGAACACGCGCTCGGTCGCCGCGTATGTTTGCATGGAACTCAAGCTATCGTCTAAGTATTCGGCTCCGTGTATGAAATCTTCGGGAATTCCGGACGACCTGACGCCTCCGGCACCCGGCACGCCAACAGGTTTCAAAACCGGTTGAAACATATTGCGGCTTCGGTTCGATCGAATGTCGTCCAAACTACTCCTGTGCTGGATGATGAACCGACGGATGAACCTCGTACGGCGTACCCGTTTCTCCGGCGGGGCCGAATCTCACGAATGAGGGATTTTTATCGATTCGAAATGTTTCTCTCCGGACACGAGTGTTTTCGCTCGCCGCGCGTCTTGAGAAAGTTCGCAGCCCGCGACAATTTTTTCCGTTCGTCAGTTTCCAAGTGTGTCGAGATTAGCGACTGAGAGACTGTATCGTCTTGAGGGGCGGAATCCGGCCACCTTTCGTTCGCGGCGCGCCTCTCGTCGAGATGCACGCGGCGCCGATATGCTCGCTCAGGAAGCGGGGGGATCGAGTCCGGAGATACACGATGCTGGAGAGAGAATTCAAACAGTGCGCGATGCCCCACGCTCCACTATCTCTCGCGGATTTGAATTCCGACAACTTCCAGAACATGAAAGTTTCTGCCATTCGATGAGGAAACCCTCGTGGTGCTTTTCCTGAAGTTCAGGTTCCGTGGACCATCAGAGGTCGCGCTTAGCGAGGGTTGACGCGGAGCGATGCAAGATCCCTCAGGGCAAGCCCACTCGCCTTAAGACCGGATCATGTGTTCATCGACCATGGAAGCGCAATCACACCAGGTTCAATGATGACGGAGAACGCAAGCCGCACACGCCAAGTCTCGGTGTTAGCTCAGGGCATGGGGTTCGCTTCGAGAGCGAAAGTCATCCGGAGAAGCCTCGAGAAATTCCCAGAAACCAACGACCTTGCTGCGGTGCCGTCAGCCAGCGGGGCCATCATTTGCTGTATCGCGGACTCGGAGACTCATGCTGCGCGGTGATATGTAGCGGGGTTCGAGTCCCACCCTGCAGAGACTCGGCGGCGCTTTGAGTGATTGGAAAGAAAATAAGTATTTGACCGTACTCCCCTGCTGCAAGCACGTAAGTTACAGCAGGCGACGACGTGCCGGGTCTAGGCGTGACAGTCTCGATCTGAGAAACTTGATGCTTCTTTCTCTTCAATCTCTGATCGAACAATTCTCGCGACGATTGTACCGTAGCCCTGAAATAGGAAGGCGCGTGTTTCTATTGTCGCTCGTCGTAACATGATGGATTTAGAAGCGATCCACAAACCGGCTTCCAGCGTTCGATGTTTCAGATGCTGACTTGGGTTGGGCATGTGTTTGTAATAAGAAGTGATAACAGCCCGCGGTGCTCATGCTGGACGGGGAGGAAGTTCAGGCATCAACGATGCGAATTCGGCTGACTCGAAAAACACGCCGGAGATGCGGGACATTTACCGAGGGACTTGAGCTTGAGCGCTCGCCATGGTATCGCGTCTTCGAATCGGGGAACTTGCGAGTCTTGCGCAGGTGATACCGAGTTAGCCGTCGCAAATTTATTGTGCCGTACTCATGTTCCCTTGGGGACAGCGCTCGTCCAGACTTGTCTAACCAGCCTAGGTTTGCCTTGAAGATCGAAGGATAGCGCGCGATCACTCGCTCCTGGAAATGCACCCAGATTCAGGGAGAAAAGATTCGAGAGCCCCCCGATTTCGATGAAATTTTTTAGAGGGCTATTCGCTCGCTCGGAGATCGAGGATACCATCCTGTCTATTATCGCGCTCGCCATCATATTACCCGTATGTAGATTCAGCCTCATCTTCTCAGAAGGTCCCATACTTCTCACCTTGCAGAGTCTCTCCATCGTGTCGAACACCTCGTACCTGTGAAAAACCTTCGAGCGTTCAAGGAAGACAGGCGGCTGTTCAAATAGAACCATCTACCACGGAGTTTGAACCTGTGAGCATACGACTATGGCGAGCATGACGGCGAGCACAGATTTCCGGCGGTCGAACCACGAACGGAGCCATTCGGAGAGCTCGGTCTGGATCGACGACTACCTCAACGCCGACGGGCTGGACACCGACGATCTGCTAGACCTGAGGAGCGGCGGAGTGAATCTGCTCGCGCCTTTCGCAGACGATGATGATCTCCAATCAGCGGTGGGTTGGAAATCGGCGAGGCAGTGTTGAAGGATCGAGTTCTCAAGCCCGGTGCAACGCTGACCTTTGACCCGATGTGCGCGGTGTGCGCAAAAGATTTTCTGAGAATGATTGTCGGAGAGAAATTCCGGCGCTTTTTGCGCTTGGGTATCTCCGGAAGCGGAATGAGAATGTCCGATCGCTCTGGATGAATCTCAGGACTCCGAATGAGTTCCAGAGTTCATACCAGGCTTGAATCTCATTCGTATCATCGACGGTAAAACGACGTTTGTCATTGTGTGTTCTCTCCTTGGGTGAAAGCTGTCCGATAGTAGATCCCGTCCGAACATCATCCGAATATCTCGACCGTAGAAACTTCAGAAGTGTATCGATAGAGCCAAGTGTACGATGGGATCCATTGAAACTTTTGCAGCTCTCGCATTTCATTCCGGAATGTGCCTTCTCCGAGTTCGATGCTGTCGAACCAGTCGACATCGAGACGGTGGAAGCGGAGCAACTTTCCCAAAGCTCAGTCCCCCATGATACCACTTCAGTGAGAGTTCCTGAAATCGGAACACAGCGTCAACGGAGAACGAAAGAGACGAGTCGTAGAGTTAGCGAAAATGGTGAATATGCTCTCCTGGTATTATCGGCCCCAACTAATTTCTCTCGAGATAACCCCCCCCCCCCGAGAAATCTGCGGAGAGACAAGATGCTCCCCATCGTGGGCCGTGAGCCCGGTATATGAAGATCCTCGAAGGGGGTCGCTTAGCAGCCTAGGCTGGATTCTAAAGATGGTCTCTGCTTTAGTTTTTCCTGATCCCGTGCATTCCGGTCAGAATGCGTTCGCGTCACCTTCACTGCCTGTGAGCCGTTGCAATAAAATTATTTCGCCGAAGAAAGCCTCGACTCCCTCACCGAGAAAGTGGATGGGAGCTCACCAGCAGCCCGGGCCGAGTCTCAAATCGCCCGGAAAGAGCAAACCTAAAACCAGCGATAGTCCGACGGAAAAGAGCGATAAAGTTCGGCTGGAGGGAGTGCTAGTTTCTTCGCACAATCGGGGTAATGCGAGCTCGAAGAAGCAGAAGATAGTTTCTCAGGCGCTGCTGGACAAACTGAAAGCTGCCTCAAAGAAGGCGGCACGTCAATCAATCCTGATCTCGACTCCTGTCACGCAGCAGCCCGCCAAACGGTACTTCGTGTCCCTAGATCACGATTATTGTGTTGACATGACGAAGGGTGAGAAAGATGATCTCGAGGTGCAGCCGATGGAACTGGAGCCAGAAGACGAGAGAGCCGTCGCGCGCATTGAAGTGCTGCCCGACTTGAGCTTGGCGGCGAGAGAGCTTCCAGTCGATCGGGCACCACTTGCGCACGACCCCGATGTCAAAGTCAGCGGAGTTCAAACTTCGGTTAATCATCCAGTGGAAGTCGACAGAGAGCAACAAGAACTCGAACTGTGCGCCAACGTGGTCAACGAAGAAGTGGTGACCTCCATCGAAACGGGGAGCGCTTCGTCGGACTCTGGGATCGACAGTTTCATACGCACCGAGGAGGACGACTTCGAAGGCAGCTTACGGAAGGGATGGACCGATGGCAAGTCGCGGAAATCCAGGCGGTCTTCGCCCTCCTCATCCGACTGCAGCAGTATCATGAGCGTCCGGAGCAGGAGAAGTACAAGTCGAAGGAATCGCGGAAAAAGTTCTTCCCGTCGGAGGGGCTCTCGGAGCCGGAGTCCAAGCCTCCGGAGAACGTACAGCTCCTCGAGACGGAGAGCTTATTCCCGAGATTCGTCCCCTGACTCCAACAGCGGTAAGTGAACAGAGTTCACGACCGTGGTATCTTCTCGATATCCCCCTCGGTATTCCTTCCGGTACACTTCCCGTTATTCCTTTCGGTATACCCCTCGTTATTCCTTCTGCTATACCCTCTTTATTCTTTTCGGTACACCACTCGTTATTCCTTCTAGTATACCCAAGTGATTCCTTTCGGTTTATTCCTCATTATTCCTTTCGGTATGGCCCTCGTTATTCCTTTCGGCATCCTCCTCCTCATTCCCTCGGTCTGTACTTTGAGTCTGATCAATTCTGTATACTGAGATGAGCTTCCCCTAAGGTTCTGAAGACCGTCGATACGACCGATCACGCGTTGAGAGAAGATCTCCGTATGAAACGAGTTGGAACAGAGATAGAGGCGTTCGTCGCGAGCGGAAAAACATCTGGGCTTCGACAGAAGAGCCGAAAATGTATCCGCGCATGCCACCCCTGAACAAGTCTGGTCAGAAAACGATCATGCAGTCAGCATTGGAAACGATCGAGCGAGGTGGCGATCGTCAAGTTCTCTATGTCGGTGAGTGAATATCCCTTCTGAAATAAGCAGGAGATCGAGCGAATGGAAGAATCTGGACAGCGGTCGACAGTCTCCGAGGATCACGACGGAGCGAGATGGATGCCGCTTCCCCCGTCACATAACTAGGGGTCTCGGACTTCGACATCTTTTTGTCTCTTCGTTGGGAATCACTTCATCCTTCTAAGATCGTTATTCCCTTTTCTTCCACGCACAGGTCAAATCCAGGAAGGCACGACACGCAATCAGATCAGGGAGAAATTCGACCGCTTCGGTCCGATCGCAGAAGTTTCTCTCCACTTCAGAGAAACGGGGGAAAACTACGCTTTCGTGACGTTCCATCAACCGAAGGATGCATACTTCGCGTTGGAGAACGCCGCCTCATTGCCCGATTTCAAACTCTGTTTCGGCGGTAGACGTCAGTTTTGTGGACGCAAGTGGTCTGACCTCGATAATGATCCGGAACGCGCTTACCATAGCACAGGTTCGAAAGACCTCGTTGAAAAACACGACGACTTCGACTCATTACTGAGTGCACTCAAGACTGCTTCGAAACGTCGGCAAATTTAGCGGGAACGCTTGTGATACCTGAGGAGCACCGCTCAATCGCGACTTTAGCGGATTGAATGAGCGGAAGACGGATGGCAAAAATGGACTCGTGCCGCGCGACGAGAACTGAGACATAGGAATGAACTGCTCGGAATGTTTCCAGAACTACTCACCTGAGGTAATCCGTGCTCAGAGGGTTCGCTACGGAACAGACAATTTGGACTGTCACTTAATGCATGAGAGATGATTCATTTCATCAATGATTTCGTCCGTGGAACGGGGCGTATAGGGAGAAAAAATTCTTGGTCAAGCAGGTACTTCATGTAGGGGTCAGTAATTGGAAGAATCCAGAAAAATGCAAATGCCCTAATCGTCTTCCTCAAAGGTTCCCTGCGTGGAGCCGTCCTGGAAGTTACCCCGTTTTAGAATGTATACGGCTCCGAGTGAAACCGCACTCTTCAAGACACAGTAATCGTCAGAGTCATGTCGGACGAAAAGTGGATGATTGTGACCTGAGACTATCAACTTATCTGCGGAACTCACGAGCGTCAGTTAGGTAAACTGCATTAGGTACATTATGTGTATTTGGTTCGAATGCTGAATAAGTGATTGGAAGACGATTCACCGAATCATCGGAAACATCAGCACGAACAGAGTGATCTATCCTCGGATCAGTGGATGTTATGTTTGCCATCATTATGCTGTTGAAACGATCGGCATCAGCTAAGATTGGAAGCAGCAATCAATTAACCAAACATCATTCATATTTAACGCTGCGACGGAAACACACGGTTTGTACAGCTAGGGGCCCTTCCCGATTGACGGATAGGGTCCTCCAGTAAAGGGCCCTCTTCGGAGTTTTATTTTTGCGAAGGAATTTGCTCAAACTGTGGCAGGAGTAGATTATTTTCTAGAGTTTTAGGGCGACCAATCAAAAGTCATGGTTGAGCGCTCGGCGCAGTTTTTGGATATTGAGCTGACCCGATGCCAATAATGTCTGAGATTTCTTCACATGTGATCAAAACGACTGATTAGAAGCTGCCGAACGTCATGAGACGTTCCCTAGATTTGTTTTGTACTCTACGATATATTCCAGGCGCACATTGAGACTCTGTGCCGAAAGCGCGCGAGGCGAGGACGAATAAATGGTCGTGCTTGAGCCAAAGTTTTTGCTCTAATCTCTAATCCATTCTTCGAGGTAGCCGACGGAGGGGATTCCGTCGACTACCGGCTTGAGAATTACAGGAAAAGACGTTTGTAGAATTCTCGGCTTCAACAATGAGCCGGTGATCCATCGGCGACCCTCAGTATGGATTATGGCAGGAAGAAAACGCGGATCGCAGAAGAATGAGCATTTATTTGGTGACTCTCCGAAACCCTGCGTCATGTGACATCCATCTTCGTCCACGAAAAACGACTCGCCCCGCGGCAGAGACTTTGACAATTCGAGCGATTGAGTGAGGGAGACTCAGAGAGTTCGTGCCGATAAAATTCACAGAATCCTCAGCGCTGTTTTTGCGGCTGAATGACAGTATTACCTAAGTCCTCATGACATTATTTGATCCCATTCACTTCGAAATCAAATTCAGTCTCTGCCCTATTCACTCTGCTCGCTCCGACCCGTTAGTTGCCGAATCAGGTTCTGGAGGTGTTGCGCTTGATCGTGGATCGTCGTTAAAACTGAGGTGCTCAGCTGGCTCACCGAAACACTATGTAGCGTAGTATTGAGTTCTCCGGCACGGCTGAGCACGGCGGTGAAAGCGTCGTTCACCTTCGACTTCATATCGTTCGAGGCCTTGTTCAGGGCGTCCTGGGCTTCACGAGCGGCTGCCTGAGCAACGAAGAGAGCTTGTTGGGTCGCGGGCTTATCTTTGGCTTCTTCGAGGAGTTTCGAAAGCCACTCGAACTTGAGCTCCTGTGCGATTTCCTGAACAGATTTTCCTTCTTGAACGTTGCTCTTCAAAGCCCTGATCACCTGCAACGCTTCAAGAACTCGACCCACTCCGTCGGAGGCGTAATTCATGGCAACCGCAAAACGAGCGCTGGCGTGATGGGAAACGCAGAGTCGAGCTTTCGTCGTCACGTGCCCGACCCTAGTTCGAATGTCACCGTCGGCATTCTCCATAACCGGGACTTGGGCTCCAGCCGAAGCGAGATGAGAGTCGAGAGCACCTTCGGCAACCGTCAGTGCGGTAGAAGCGTAGCCCGCGAGCTTCCCGGGAGCCATGGCCCCTAGTCCGATCTGTTGGAGCTTCTGATTGCCGTATCCGACGACAGCGTTGACTTTCTCAGCTCCGTACTGCTTCACGTCAGCGTAGATTTTGTCCGGGGTTTCCTTGACTGCGGGAACGGTCTGCTCGACGCGGTCGAGACCCTGGCAGGCGTAGGTGTCCACAAATTGGATCGGACCTTGCAGCTTATTGAGGATGGGTTGCGAAGTGGACAGCGCCATATTGGTTGTCTTCTCCCCGGCTTCCATCACTGCCTTAATCGACGCCGGCGAAGCGTTCTTCAGCTTGTTGTAGGAGCTCATCGCGATCTCGAGAGCGGCCTCTACCGTGGGCAGAGACGAGACTCTCGTCACGAAGTGACTCTGAACTTGTTGATTTTCAGCCACCATGTTGACTTTTCCGCCACTGGAAACATAACAGAAAAACGCTTTGAGTAAGAACGCGGCTTGGAGGTAGTACAGCAAAAGGAAAACATGATGGACGACGAGCACTTGGAGAAAGCTCGCCGGACTGACATATAGTAGCTCTCGCTCTGAAAACGGAGTTGCCATGAATGCAACCTCCGCAGAGCGATTCCACCTGCATCTCAGCGACTGTGCGCTCTGACGGATGGCGCTAGGAGGAACACTCGATCGACGTCAATGAAGTACAGTCCAGAGGAGCATTAACGTAATCGAAAAAAAACCTACAGTTTTCCCTGTTCCGTGTTTCAATGGCACGAAACAATGGCGCGCCGCTTTAAGAAGCTAAACCGAGAGGGGAGAGGAGAACCATCGCGATTGACTCGTGGACTTGGGATGGATGACTCATTGAACGTTTCTGCGATCGGTTCAACAACGCACAGTCATCGAAAAAAAGAATGAGGCAATGTCCTTCAAGCTCGACTCGTTTCCCTCGGACCTCCCGCCCTTGATCCGAAGGAGGGAAATGAGGCCTGACCCGAGTAGGGTCCGCGAAGGTTCAGAAGAAAGGAAAATACCGTAACGACCAGGATACTTGTTGGACACCGTGGAGCTTCCAGTTCGCAACAATTGTCTTATGCCGTTTCCTGCCTACGTCCTCGATAGATGCCGAGAAGCGCAATGACATTTGGGAATGATTCCTTCAATAGAAAGTTCGAGACACCTGGCTCTCTGGAATCTGTTCGGTACGAGTCCAATCTCCAAAGTCTAACGGACGATTCCTGTTCATCGGTATGATACGCGGATATTGCCGTAAATTCGCTTGCGATTACGCGCTATCTACCGCAATCACGAACGTAATGTCCCAAAAATAGCGAATCAGCTCAAGATGCCGCCAGTCGACCATAGTGCACGAGACGTCCAGTAGATTCTGCGATTTTTCCCCCTCGGAATCCATGGAAGAGTACATAGGAAATCGACAGGAGGTGATCCTCTGATCTTTGATATTTGAGGAGCTACAGCTAGTATCGACACCCGATGAAATCTGCTCATCGACTTTGCAGCGCCGAAAATCCCCAGAAAACCGTGGATCCGAACGCTTCCGTTTCTTCGAGCTGTCAGATGAAGAGGATACGACGATGCATATTTTGTGCGCCGTAAATTCTCCCGGAACGAGAAACTGGCCACTGCGAATGCGTCTCGGATGAGAACCTGATCACTGATCACTTACTTCTCAACCGGGCCGGAATCGAAAGTCTTCCGCGCCATGGCTCCCAAAGACGAACCGTTTTTAGCACCAGCCATATCAAACGAAGTCGTTTCAGCCTACTCTGAAAGTTCCGGCCGGTGTTTGCTCAGAGGAAAACTTCGCCGACGGAAAGTGAAACAGCTGGCGGAAGGTAATGAAGGATTGTGCTTGGAGAAAGCAAGCACAATCCGCTCGGCAGCTCGGTGTCTCACAGAGGAATTCATCTCGGAGATGATGATGAGAATGACCCTACCGATCCTTGCGAGCGAGATCGCCAGAGGCTGAATGAACCCATGGTATGGTGTTCATTGTTGGTGAGGACTGAGGTTTCCCGTATTCGCCATAATCTCCGTGAGCAACATTATGTGGGAAATGAGGAAAAAATACCAAAAGAGCTCCCATTGGGCTATTTTTCCGACCGCGTAGAGGCTGAACGGCCTCGTGCCTGTCTGGACAGGATCCTTGGAAGATTCATCGTCACAAACGCTTGATTATATTCGGATGAAAGCTACGGAAGAGATCGCAGCGCTCGTAAACGCCTCCAACAAGTCACAGAGTGGATCTCGGGACATTCTATATAATAGATATCTATATATACATGCATCCCGATTAAGCGGCAGGAATAGATCCAGATTACGCATGGGTTTCTCCCGGAACTGCGTAACTCCCGGAAATCGCGGGGTTGAAAGCTCGAAGGCATGACAGAGGAGCTTTGGGACGTTCCTTGGCGAAACTCCGACCTCTAATATTGGAAACAAGGATGCGAGGTAGGAATCGAATGATGGCGGAAACTTGCGACTCGCTGCCGGCTGCGAAAACAGATTCTTGCAGCGTCTCTCAGCTGTGAGTCCGAAGCTCGGCACATTTCTCGGGTAGAGATTCCCGGCCAGCACCAATCGGGTGGCAAGAAGATTGGCGGCGAGTTCCGTCTCGGTGAAATCATCCACGTAGATCTCTCCGTGAACCGTCTGAATGACACGTTTCAAGCATTCTCGAAATGGGGAAGGTCAAGATATTGAAAATTACATTTCGTCCCTTTCTCGACGAAGTACTCACCGAAAATCACGACGTGTGTCTCAATGAACAGGTCGACGATCAAACTAGATCTGCTTCTCTCGACACACGCCCAATATGAGTATGTATGGGCATCGACAGCGCCAAGGAGAAAGAGAACACTGTTCATGAGATAAGATGAACCGAGAAAGCGAGAACGCGACAGCTATGATGGAACCGTATTCGAAAACGAACGGCATCCACAGGAAGCGGAGAATCTCCGTATCGCCAGGAATCGGCACAGTCAGAAACGCGTGCGACTTGCCTTCCCAAATAAAGGAACGCATGTCGGCGTAAGGTTTTTCGGCGATGGATGCAACGATACAACTCGCTGGACTCTGTCCGCCCAAAGCGTTCAAGATCGGTCGGGCAATGGCTCTCCGAGTTAGAACTCGTCGTACGATTATTCTGAACAAAGTCTTCAAAGGACCTCAAATATTTCCTCCAAGCTCCCATCCGCCCACTCTCCCCGCTCGGACATCGCTCGACCCTCTCTCTGATTTTTTCCTGAACCGGAGTCGAAGGGTTCCCAAATGATTGGGAGGGCTCAAGATCCTCAGATTGCGAGAGCGAAGAGTGATTCCGAGACTTCGCCTCCGGATCGGATATCTGATTGTCGATTATCAGATCCTTACCCGACTGTCAGCGATCTCAGAAAAATCATGGGAATACTCACCAAAATTCTTGGCGATGCAGTGGTCAAGACTTATCACGCCTGTGTGACACAACTTCGGAAAGCAACGGCTTCGAAACTTGCTGTTTCAAGCTCGAACGAACGTGCAGATTCACATCTAGATCACGTGACGGAAGGAATATCTGTGAGAGCGAGAAGGACATGGGTTATTCGCTTTCCATGTTTTTTTCTTTCAATGCTCTCAATCAAGTCAGCGCATCGTTGCCCAGGTAAACTGGGTCGGATGACAGACTGGCGGAAATACAGGCAAGCGGCGCAATGTCTTACCACGTGCTCGTCGATGGGAGGCGAGCTCAAAGGAACAACTTCCGTCTGCGAGCCAGATATGCGTAGAAGACACCGTTTACTAAAACCGAAAATTCTCGCTTCTTGATATTCCAAGTCGGCGTCTGTCTCACATCCAGATAGAGCTTCCGACGGAAACTTCAAAATCCGAGGGGGAGAGGAACACACGAAGGGATAGGAATTCCGGCGTAATCCTCGAACACCCGGAAAGAACGGAAGCTCGCTCTGCTCCGAGAGGACAGCTAATAACTTCAGCTATTGTTCCGCCGGATTACGCCGCTCCACGAAGAGGACGATGGCGAACTCAGATAGCCGAGGAGCACGTGGAGACCCGCCGCTCTGAGACGACAGAGTCCCGCTCTTCAAGAATCCCTCCGGCCAGGGAATTCCCCAGACTGAGGTCCATGTTTTTCTCGTTCGGGACTCCCAATCATCCGGGCAAACAAGAGAGACGCCTCCGGGTGGCATACCGGAGGTCCGATTCCCGCGAGGGATTCTTCCGTTCTCAGAAAGAAGAAGATGCGTGTCGCCGTAGCCGTGCGACATCTTTCCACCGACCCCATTACCAGATACCCTACATGCAAGAATTCCCTCGTGCATTTTCCATTTCCAAACGAGGTCCACCCAAGTGAACGTATAAATTCTAGCTCAGTTCACGCATCGGCGATGAAGCTAGACATGAGTGTCGTCAAGTATTTCACGGTGTCGTTGCTCGTTCTCTCATCCTCAATTGATGCGGCGTTCGTGAAGAAGTATTTGGAGGCCAGATTGCTGGCTCAGATGCTCAACAATGCTCAGAATCCTGATATGTCTATGATTACAGCTCACCCGATGCTTCCGAAACCGTGAGTCCAACACTTGTTGACTTCTGAAGGAGCTAGTGAAGGATACCAGAGCCCGGATACCGGGATGTATAATAGTTGACTGCAGAAGTCCTGACCGCATGTCGAACATGGTCTCGAGTTTTATCAATCGCATTTTTTTGTCGAAAGTGAATACAATTTCGCTCAAATGGTTCTACCGTTGAGAATGAGGATGTTCCCATCCATGGAGTCAGACAACGCGCATCAGGAGCATCTCTACGGACCAGGACACTTCAATGACCATCCGGTGGATGGTCATCACCACGACTCTCATTTCGATTTCCCATGTGAGCAATCAGAACTATCGGCGGTACCCGAGCCCTATCTTCAGACGGAACTCCCTTTTTCCCTTTTTCCCGATCCCCAGTCTCTGCCGTATTCTTATCTCATCGTCAAAGCCGTTGAGAACTTCCCACGGCATAGAGCATCTCTTGAGAGCCCTGCCGTATACGAATCTGACTTTCATCCTTTCGCAATTTTCGAAAATACCCTGTCATGTAGCGTGTGCCAGGAAACATCTTATTCCCGACTCCGCCTGTGAAGAATCCGTACAGTGGTCCCTCATGAATATAAAATGATCGGGAACAATCGTTTGAACCTCATGGATCAAATTTGCCCTTCTAGCCCAGGAAGAGCTGGCCGCAATCATGATGAAAACGCCTGCTTCCACCGCAATGATGATGATGAAAGATGTTGGAAAATCAAGTTCGATGGGCACAATGAGCGAGACCCCTGCCGCCTTTCCACCGATGACAATGTCGTCCGACTCGAGTCAACGAGACTCCGTAGGCTCAACGGAGAAGAAGCTTCTGAGTGAAGATGAGCTCGAATCCTTAGTCGCGAAAATGAAACAAATCAATGGGGACATCGACGAGATCAGTGACGAGCAAATGAAACTCATGATATCTTCCGGGTCAACGGATGAAGCTCCGAAGGGAGCCGCTGGCTCATCCGACGGAGCGAAGGAAGACGACATGAACCATTCGAACATCATGAAGCCCATCGACAGGTTTACCGAGGCTCGCAGGCCATACAACAATTCGGAAATAAAGGGTAATGGAGCGGACGATCGTTTTCCGGTAGACTTCTCCGAAGCCGGATCGAGAAGTCCTCTGAGGAGAATTTGAAGAATGTTGTTTGAATTAATTTCGCAGCGACAGAAAGTCCAATCGTGTCGAAGCCGAAGACGAGCCCGGCGATGCTGCCACTCTATCCGATGCCGGTACCGCCCGCGAGATTTTCTATCTCACAAACACCGTCGCAGCAAAGTTTGATGAGCAGAATGCCGCAAGCTCTCCGCTCAGCGATGAGCTCATTCGGCTTCGGCGGTCAACGGAGGAACCCGACGGGCTGGAATGCTCCGATTGGAATGAACTCCATCGGCGCCCAGAGATTCAATCCGTATCTTCCGTACGGCCGAATGTCCAATGTGAACGTCGAAACTCATCCGGGTACGTGAATAGTCGGGTTTCAGAGTCGCGGCGACTATTTCCTGTACATTCAGCTGACGACTATTGCCCCTCATTGCAGCTTTCGAGTCGTGGATGTACCCGAAACCTTATAGAGCGGTCCGCAAAGAATCTAATCCTGCGTACCTGGGAGCCATCGACCAGACGCGCACAGCGCCACCCCCGCAGGCTACCGATGATCTACGCTCTCAAATTGAGAAAGTCATGAACGAAGTGGAACGGTAATTCAACTCCGGGTCGGAGACGAGCGAAATTTCGAATCGGAGTTCTGTCCGACTGAGAACTGACGTTTACAGGAATTTTCACAGGAGAGGGAAGCGACCCGATCTTCCTCGGGGTGAGACAACCCGAGACGACTCGAGGGGAAAAGAGGCTGGACCCCGGAGGTTGAAGAACGTCTCCGAAGTTGCAGATCTGAAAATGAATCGAGGAGATCTCCAGCGTTTGAAGCAATCCGAGTCGGTCGTATCAGAAGTTGCCTCGAGCAATTCGACAGAAAAATCAAGTTGAATCTCGGCTCCCGTTGAAATGTCTTGTGTCGAGAGAAGCATTTAGGGTTAGAGCGCTCCATGACTGTACATATTCATCTGAAGCAATAAATGTTCGCATGCAATATATCGTATTCGAGCTCGCCCGCTTAGACGGCTCGAAGGGGAACATCAGAATGAGATTGGATGAAAAAAGAAACGGTAGCTCCTCGAGGTAGCAAGTTATTTTATTGAGGTTTCGCTCGCAGATTGAGTAGACTTTCATCGCGAAAGATACTTTCTGACTTCCGACAACGGGGCTATAGCTATCGCTTATAAAGACAGAGTAAAGCTTGATTCCAATCCTATTCCATCGAGACGCCGATACGGGAGAAATGTGATGTATGCGGTCGGCCGTCAACTCAAAGGTACTTCGGCTGGAAAACGAGCGTCCCGCTAGGCAAGTGCGAACTTATGTTTCCTCAGCACCCGTATCACAAAATAAGTCGGTCTGAAGCAATTCATTTCATGCAAATAATTGACGATCGATGATTCGCCGTCGTTGCCTCGATTGCCCCATCGCATTGTTTACTTGGGCCAGCGCGATTTTCCCATTAAGCTAAATAAGTGAGTAGAAGAAGGAACGGAGGCGTTCGCTCCTGGAAAATCTGATGGAAATCCTCATAAATCCATTCAAGAATTTGAGTCTTTGAGGAAGTGCTCGTGACCCATCGATTCGTCCGAGAAACATCGAGCGATCGATACAAAGTGTAGTTTTCCTGGATTTTCCTCAAATAGGCCTTGATTGATCCTACGTGCACAGGTGCGAATTCTCGTCGGTCTGGAACGGTACTGAAAGTGATCACCCGATGGGATCCATTTATTTGTAGAATTTGTACTCGGTCTCGCAGGCGTCCTTGAAAAGCTCCCGGAGTTCCTCGGGCTTGGCGCCGCAGTCCAAGATCTGGTCGATCTCCTGAGAAAGGGAAAAAAAAGCTCAATCCCCACCTTCGCTACTCATTTTTTTCTGACAGTAACGGCTCGTTTCTCCACTCAATTTACCGAAATGCATCGCTGTTCCAGGTCTCTGAGCAAAGAATTCAGTTCAGCAGAATGATTGGCTTTCTGATGGAAATTATAGAGAGTAGTCGATCCGTCTGCCGCCACGATATGCTTCGAGTTCTGCACGCCCTCGGTAAAGATGAAGGGCTTGAAAACGGACATCGATGGATCTGGTGTTCCAGTGAACCAATGACAGCTATGACCGTTTTTGCTGAGAACTGAGACCTGGAGAGAGGAGGCGTCGGTCAACACAGAAGTTCGCAGAGCCGCCGCAGCTGCTTCGTCACATCATCGAGACTTGTATGAAGTCAGCCCCTCGTGGATGCATGAAGTACCTGTGAGCCTTGGGTGGGGTGTTTGGCGTCGACACCGCGGCATATCTCGCTCTCCTTGTCTCGGAGGATGCTGACCATGTCGTTCACACCGAAGTTGCCTAAGTAAGATGATCCAATAATTTCGGGTACTTGACCTCATAATTTTTCCGAGATACGATCAACTGAATGTCTATGTGTCGGGGTGACAAAGCAGTGCGGCGGTGCGGAACAGAAACAGACGTAAATTAATCGAAAGACAGCTTCCTTGAGGAGCCGAAACCCGACCTGAGCTCCCTGCGTGACGAAACATCCTCCGCAAGGCATGCAGATCGCAGGTGAGCGCAGGATCGACATCATGGTAGCGCAGTCGAATAATTCTGTAACGGGCACGCCGGAAGGTGCAAAATGGTGCAGAGTGTTTCTCAACGAGTCAGCAGGTGATCTGATCCCAGACCGGGCTATCCGCTCAGAATCAATCCGAGGTAATCCCCGCTCGAGCTCTTCCTCAAGCGAACGGAGAGAAGAAAGAGAAGGGAGTCTTCCCAGAGAGGAAAAACAACATGAATGCGGGTGATGCAAAACAGAGGTGCAGCATTCGGAATCGGAAAATACAGGAGAACTCACCTTCGCCGCTGGCGTTAGCCTCGAGAAGCTTTTTACCAGCCGCATACCGGGGACAAGCGTCACCGTCGCTGAAGGCCGACGCGAAGCTGAAATCTCCAGTACCGTCCCAGAAACCCGCAGCTTGAGCCTTAGCCTTCAGATCTTCGGAGCTCAAATCAAAATTGGTCTCTATAGTGAGTGCATTCGAGATGTTCCGGTAGCCGGAAGATATTTTCTGAGCTGCCCAAAATGCGTCGGCCGTTTCGAGCACGAACGCTTCCTGTCAATCGCAATAATTATCGATTAGAAGTGGGCTGTCCGACCTCAGGATTCCGGGTTCGGTGGAAAAGTTCATTGATCAGTCGAGAATCGTCAAAGAACTGAGAAGGGAGGTATCGCGGACGCTGACCTGATTGTCACAGATGATAAAACTGTTGTGGTAAAACAAGTCTCCTGCCTGGCTGCATGGACCACCTTGTCCGTATTTCTCCAATAAAGTCGTAATCACATCTACGGCCTCCCTGGCTGATTTGCCGCGCTCGAGACCCAGGCGAACTGGAAGTCGAGCACTCGGTCATGCACGCTGCCGTGGTCCTTCGATGACTTTGTCCTTCGCTCTCGTGGTACGATATTATTGCCTCGGACTGTCTCGATCACACTCACCCAGATCCATCCCGATGAGCTTCTTCTCCTTCAATCCACCGGGGTTGACTTTAGTGAAGACAGCCTCGTTGCCGATCACAACACCGTTCTCGTTGGAGCCCATCTCGGCACCCCACATCCAGACGGGCTTCGATAATACGACCGCGTACGTCGACTCCGCCTGATCGATTTCGATGTAGGTACATTTCACTTTTGAGCCAGCTTCATGGGTCGCACCAGGAAAATACTGGACCTTCAGGGAGAAAGACAAATGTTGAACATTCTCCTGTCATGTTCGCTCCGCAAAAAGGGGCTGCCATTTCGAGCCTATTCTGGCTGTAGAAAATTACCTCTTGAACTTCGCCTTGGGGCCTGTCGGAGTTCTTGCCAAAAACAACTCGGTCTTTGGCGGCTGCGGGCGCCAGAACGACAAACGTGTCACAGGACGTGGGGTAATGGGACGGCATTTTCACTGAAAGCGAAGCAAATCGGCGCATGGAGAGTTGTTTCCCGCTCGACTGATATGGCCGGACCGGGAAATGAGACAAAGGAGAGCGCAGGACTGGGCACATATGGACTTGACCAATTGCGACAGCGATTTCCATGTTACTCAATTTCCATGTGTTGACACATTCTGGACTGTGATGCAGGATTCTCGATGAAAGTTTTCCATGTCTCCCCGTTACTCGCAGTTCGAGAGTCGCAACGAGAGGAAAATTGAAAAAAATCGTATCGCCAGTCCGCTACCCGGCGCTTGCTCAGCTCTCTGTGACGTGCGGGAACTGCACGACCGACAGTCGCTCTTCATCTCCGAATCTTCTCGTAAATTTTCCAGTTTGGGATCGAGGGACCCACGGAACACCATGCTTATTTTGAATAATGCCGAGTAGCTGGAATCTCCTCGCAGGCATTCAGGGGCCGCAGCTAGGCGTTTCCCCTCAGTGGCGGCACAGCTGTTCCGAGGTGTCAAGCCTGCGTGCGCTCACCGTCCGAAGTGCTGTTCACGGAGGTTTCAGCTTTCGACGGTACCCATCGATGGCAAAGGGTTTCGCTGAGACTGTCTGGTAGAAATCAAGCGTACTCTCCTACTCTTAGAGATCGAGAAGTCCTAAAACGAATGACTCACCGGCAGTCGGTCGTTCGGCTCGGGCTGGACCACTAGCTGTCTGCTGTCTGACACGAGCAAGGAGAGAGCACCGGTAGCAGCGATGGTAATGGGCTGCCACACCGCTCCGATAGAAGCTTCAAGAGAGGCTTCGCTTTACCAACGCGTACCGAGCGGGATGTCCGCATCCCGTAGCCAACCGGTGTTTCGGTTGTGCGGAGCCCTCGGAGAGTTTTCCGGGACTCGAGAGATATTCCTGGGAGCCCGTCAATATAGAGTGCCTCTCGAATTGATTGCGTGCTCCAGATGTCGGGAGTGAAGAATCGAAGTTTAGAAATCATTTTGAGAATGATTGTTTATTCTTTCATCGTGTTCTTCTCCTGCCTTCAATCACTAATAGTTTTATTTACAATGTTTACACAATAGGAAGAGTGTTCAAAACTAACTATCCATTACACTCAGTCAGCAACTATGATACAGAGCTATACGATCATATTTTCAGAAACACTCGTCTCGCGATTTCCACACAGATCGACCCAATATTTTTTGACAATATCAGCTGGTATCTTACTCTATGCTTATCCACACCATGCTTCTTTGATCCATTACCTCGACACCGTGATGGAATCATCTAGCTGTCGAGTCTAGAGGTTTCTAAGAATATATTACGACAAATCCGTTAAAATAAATAAATTCTCCGAGTCACCGAAGTTCGTCGAATACAACCTGAAAACTTGAAAGCAATTTAGTGTCGAGAGGCCCGGCATCCCAAAGGGGAATCACGGTCAGAACTGCATATGGGTGCGCGATACGTCGTTAAATAAATTATTCCATCGTCCGAAAGGTTGACGTGAAGTCTATTCTGGGTCTGCAAATCGATGTTCCATTGATGAAGTCTAAAATTTCTCAGATTCGTTTCATCGCCTTTCCTTGATCAGTGCTTCCTTCGACCCCTCTGTGTTGAAAACAGCTGTTTGTTTGAACGTTCTTGACGCGTGGATAACGCGATAATGTTAGGAATCAAGTGGACTAGAGGTTTAGCTCCAGCGAGCTATGTAAGTGAAGTTCTTCATTTGAAACTAAAATTTCTTTTCTAGCGAGATGGTCCTCGTGTCGTGTGATGACAATCGACGTCAGTGGACGTTAAGGCTCCCGGGAACGTTGGCAACGCCGGACGGAGGTGCTACGCCTCCCAGCTCATCGACTTCCTCCCAGCGATGAACATCCATATCTATGTCGCCGAAATTCGGCGAAGTATTCTGTTGAACCACATGTGATTTCTGCTGCAGTTTGAGAAAATCCAGCAATGAGTGCGTTTTGGTTTGCTTTTCGCTGTTTGGAATTCCTGTCGAGCTCCCTTTCATAATGTAGTCGTGGACTGGTGACGGGATCGGGACCCTGCAAAGAGGAAAGGATCTCTTGAGTTTTGAATTCAGAATCGCGTTGATAGGGTGACCGATGAGCAGAGTACTGCACGAGCCGAGGAATCTTGTAATCTGGTACCTCACCTCTCAGGGATGAGGCCGGTCAAGCGGAAGAGATTCTCCAATGGATTTTCCGAACGGGCAACGTATGGAACGAGTTCCAGACCCGTTTTATGAGTTTTCGGAGCAAGATCACAAGTTGAAACTTCGTTTCCGAAGAAGGAAATCCTAGGGATACGTAGTCGGAACAGATCGTGGATTGCACTCTCACCGAGATCGGATCGGAGAGTATCGGAGGCCCTGGAAAGAGGAAGGATTCACTCGCTGATACACATCACTCTATTGATCCATGTTGATTCGCCTCACCCGCAAACGTTCACTGAAAGATAGGAGCATCTTCAAGTTGAATAACGTAGAAGGTAACTCACCACTTGAACGAATCATCGCGTCTCAGAGGCACGTAAGGCACCAATGTCTTGCATTGATTTTGGGCTCCGAAGCTCCCGTTGTAAGCCGCTCCTCTAGACACGGCGAATGTCTTGCTTTGTTTCTTGGGATCGCTTTCCGTGGGGACATTTTCGAAATCTGCTTGATGGTTCACATGTGATCCAACTACCCCGTCGACGTCAGGCTCCTCAGGCTCGATCGAATCGACTCTGAGCTCACTCGTTTCCGCCGCATCCAAGGCACAGTCGACGACCATTCCGTCGGCGGCGTCGAATTCGATGACTTCGCTTGGGAGTCCGATCGGCTCAAGCGAAGTCCCTATCACGTCCATCAGATCATCGCTCCCATCTTCGTCGATATCGAGTAATGGAGCTTCGCTATCGCCTTTCAGAAGTTCGATGGAAGGGACGGAAGTCTCATTCTGGTCAAGGTCGTCAGCTCCGATAGTGTCATCGAGCTCGCTGTCGATTCCATTTACTTGGATTTGGGGCTGAGTACCCGTCTCGAGACTCGTGAAGTCTCCGATCGTCATATTCGATGCGTAAATCGAACTCTTCTCTGTCGAATCTATTCGCATCGAGGACTCCGTGGACTCAGATTCGTCTACCGAATCCATCGGAAGTTCCGCGGGCGAGATCACATCTTCCGACTGAGCTTTTACAGCTTCGGCATGGCTCTCATCGACAGCGCACGAAGCTCGAGTCGGAGCGAGTTCGGGTTCGGAATCCTCAACAGAGACTTCTTCGACTTGGGAGTCGTCCGACCCGTTGTGGTCGATTTGGGAATCGATCGATTCGTTCTGGCCAATCTGCAGTACACCGCAATCGGTCGTAACGACTTGACGCTCCTCGGTATCAACGGCATCCATTGATTCTCCAATCGGAGTTGATGATTCTGCCCCGTTTTCCAGCTGTCCAGGAACCTGAGCTCGATCCTCGCTTTGAACACAAGATGGCCCTTCGACCTCCGAGGTCTCCTTCTCGGATCTCCGATTACCGGGGGCGACAGGAACCTCCGGGTTCTGAGGATCCACTTCTGATGATCTTTCCACGGCTTCGAGGACCGCTACAAGCGCTGACCTAACGTCTTCACACGGTTCCGAGCTCGTTATTTCTTGCTCCTCGGAAGCTGCATCAGACTCGTCGATCGACAGGACTCCATTCATCACCGGTGCCTTCGTTTCTGGACAGGCGGTGCTGTTGAACTCCGAGGAATTTTCGCCATTGAAGGTCTCAGCCTCGGGATCTGATGGCATCGACAATCGGACTTCGTGGTTCGGTTCCCCGCAAGGGTCCAACGGAGGGGGGATGGATCCGTCATCATCGATCTTCGAAGGAATAACGGACTTTTCCTCAGGCTGAAGACTGAACTCGGTCGCGATGAGCGTCGCAGGGATACCAGAGAGGTCTATCGACGACTCTGAGGCGACGTGTGACGGAGGCGTCAGGCGAACGATCGACAAAGATGGTTCACACTCGTTTCCGTGGTCTGGATGGAAAGTATCACTCGATGACTTAGCTGCCGTCGTTTTCACATAAATCGGGGTCACTCTCACGTCGTTTTGTTCAAGCATCTTGAGCGTATCTGGTTTGAGACTTTCCAGCGGAGTTCTTGTTTTGGGGGGACTGATTGCGGAAGACGCCAAGCTGATGAAAGGATCTGTGTTGAAGTACTTCTGTATTGCGCTCTCGAGTTGCAGCACGCGCTCGATCTGATTCGGTGCAACGACGATTGTGAGTTTTCGCAGCAGCGTGAGGATTCTTTCCAGAGCGACTTTCTTCGCCAAGAAAGTTTTCCACATGCGATTGCTGACCCGACCCTTGCTCGCTTCGAGAGCCCAGAAGAACTTGCTTATATTCGTTATGAACATCTCGATCGACTCGTGGATGTTCAGCTCTTTGGATTCGTTGTCCTCCTGTTGCTTGACCTTGATCTGAGGAGGCGAGGACTCGTTCGAGAGAATGTTGTGGATGCTGAACTTGACTTCGGTACACGACATCGACGACGATGATGGAGAACAGGACGAGGGAGAGGTGGTCGACGAGAAAGATTTTCGACGTGTGCTCTCTAGGCAGAACTCCGATCGTAGAGACTCTGCCGTGGGGGACGCGTAGCTTTGAGATCGGTCCATTTTTGGTGAAACTGCTGGTGTCAGGGGGTTTATTGCGGCCACGGGGAATTCCATTCGGAATACGTCGGCGTTTATATCACCACTCGAGCTGCTGCCTGGTCTAACGCCGGAGTCTAAAAAGTGGTCCGTTTCGGACTGCCTACGACTCGGAAAGTCGTTGTGGTCCGCGGGCTTGGAGAAATAGCAATCTCTAAGAGGCGAAGAACTAGGAGAACAGCTGACCGTGTGCTGGGGGGATGACAGTACCTCGTAGACTTTGTCGTTTTTGACTGCTTCCAAAACTGCAGAGAGCGTTGAAGACATCTTGAAATCCGGGGGAGGTAATTTTACAGGAACCGGAGGTGGAGACACATGACGCCGCTTCCGCCAGATGCGATTGTTGGCCGGCTTGACGACAACCTGGTTCTTTTTCAAAGAGAAGTTCTCCTCGAGGAAAGACGAGGGAGTCGCCGGCGGTGCGGGAAGGGACGCGGTTCGATTCTTCGCCTGATTAGCTTTTCTCCTGGCTACCGACACTGTCAGAGGCACTGTCAATGGACTTGGGATGCGCAACTGAGATTCCCATAATGAGGAGTCACCCCAACCGAAGTTCGAGGTGCTAAGGAGGTCTTTCGGTTGATCTGCAAGCGAAGAAAGAAATTAAATTTTATGATACATTCGTTATCAGCACGGTTGCGAAAGGGTTTGCGAGAGTCTGGAGGAGCCCCATGCGTGATTCGAGGTCCCCTCCCATGGCTCAGAAGGCATACATACTATCGGCCTCGATCGGTGACGGAAAGCCGTCATCCAATGTAAAATGGGGTAAGCCCATGCTTACGAATCGATTCCATAACGATAGATGAGCGAAATACTCACCAGACACGTAGGCGGTGTCATTGATAACCGCTTGCGTATTCTGATTCGTAGTCTTTTTAGTTTTCGCTTTCTTGCTCTTCTTTGGCGCGACGGGCTCATCTTCGAATGACGGCGATTTTTCCTTGATCGTCCGATCTCTGTCTTCGCTCCGACGTTTCTTGCGACCGCCGCTCTCCACAGAACTAGCTCGGGTTTCCCTCGAACTCGAAGGTGGAGATGGGGTTGAAGGTGAAGCAACGATCGGTTTGATTTTGATCGACGTCACGGCAGGGTACTCCAGCGCCTTCAGCCGAGTCTCTCTGATCGGAGGCGAAGTGATGGTGAGAGTTTCGCTCGTCGTTGGACTCGTGTTCAGCTTGATTTTGAGCACGGTCGGAGGCTTGCCCGCTACCGTGGAGGCGGAAGCCGTAGACGGTGAAGAAAAATTGTGGTTTTTGTGGTGGTGGTGATGATGGTGGTGATGGGATTTCTTGTCCTGGCTGACTCGCTTATGATGTCCGACGGGAGCGCTCTGTTGAACGACAGGAGAGATGGCCTGCTTGCCTGCCGGCTTGTCCGACTTCTCCCGCATGGCGTCGATTCGGAGACTCTGGGGCCGGGCCACGATCAGAGATGGATTGTTGTTGGCATGAATTGACGATACGCCGGACGAATTTTTGGAATGTTTGGACGTTTTAGAAGCCGAAGGAGAGCCGCTGCTGTTGATGGCAGCGGCTACCAGGGCAGCAGTCTTGTTGAGCTTTCCGACTGAAAGAGCAGCGAGCGAGTGCTCGTGGTTAAAGATGGAACCATAGAGAAAGAGTATATGTAAACATCCGAAGCTTGACGACAGCACTCACCGATGCTGTTGCTGCTGCTGCCGGCGCTGTTATTGGGCGTCTGTTGGGAGCTATGCTGACTGTTCGTAAGGCTGTCGATGGTTGTAGACACGTTTGAATCCCAGCTATCGACCTCTTCCTCGGTAGAGTCGCCTTCGCTTGCGTTCGCCCCGGTCACGACACCGTCGGCCAACTGACAGAGGTTTCCGTTGCCTCCGTTGCTCCCGGCATTCCTGGAGTAGGTTTTCATCGAGTTCACCGCAGATTCCAGGATAGAATTCTTGGAAAGCACGATGCTTTTGGTATCCGCCTGCGAATGATAAAGAGAGAAGATGCTCTTTAGTCTCGGAGTCCAAACCGCTCGACTCCGCTAGACATTGTCGGATTCCTGGCCCAGGGAATACCTCGGATCCTCCACTAGGGTTGAAGGCTCACCTTTACTTTCGTGTATTGCACGTTCTTCACCGCCTTGTTCGCGACTCTGGAGTCTCCGTTGATCTTCTCGTCTCGGTAGCGATGGTTGAGGGATTTCTTCAGGATCGACGACTCCGACATAGTTGAAGATTCGAGGAGTCTTCTGTCTTTAAAGCTTTCAGGGTCGAATTGCACGAAAGTAAATGATAACTTCAGAGGTCCCTGAAGATTGTATTTAGCTATATAGCACACGTCGAAAATTGTGAAATCAGGGTCCAGCAGTAAACGGTCTGGAGCGTCCCTCGTCCCGACGCCTCCCTGCTCCAGAATCAGATGAACAACAAGCGTCGGGAGAGGTTTGCATTTGTCACGTAGAAAATTCAGTAAAACCGACACCGGCATAGCTGCCGCCAATTCGAGATATCTGCAAGAGAACATCAGGGAGTTAGTCCATATGGTATGCGGGACGAATGTCAGATTAAATACCGTTTACATATCATTTTTGAATTTTTAGGAGATCGAGAACAAAAAATTCGAAGTTCCTCACAGTTTGGGATATTCTTCGTTCTCACGATAGGCCAGAACCACGGAGACCTTGTCCTTGTCCGAGAGAATCACGCGTTCCGGGAAGCCCCTCTCCTCAGTACGTTCGTCACTTCTTTCATCAGTGTTCTCGTAGAATTGTCGTCTCCGGCGCATCTCATCCTCGTACAAGCCGGGGACAACCCTGTACACAATCGACTGCAGCGTGTGATCGGGCAACTGCAACGGGAAACAAACTCATGAGCGACGCTCGTTCCGACCGGCGACTTTTGGGAGACCGATGCGCACGTACACACCACAGGACCAAATGACGAGGGTTCTGAATGTTGGAGATGTCCCGGAAAATGAACTCTCGCTACGGGATAGCGATACAATCATGAAAATATCTCGATCAAATCACGTACCATGTGTGTGTCCATCCGGCTCCGGAAAACCCTCTGCTGACACGTTGGACATGTGCTACTCGTGTCCAGGTATCGGTGTATACAGCTTCGGCAGAAGGTATGCATACACCGACATAGTGTCATAGCGTTGATGAGGTAGCCTTTGCATAGCGAACAAGTGATGGCCGAATTTACCGAAACGAGTTTCGGTCGACCTGCCATCTCGTGGCAAAGCCTTCGGCGACCTCGTCTATTTTATCGAAGAGATACGTTCTTCGGTCGTCTGAAAGGAAGAAAAAATAACCTCGTTAGTGAATCGGATCATCGGTTGCCAACACTTCAAACGGACGGGGAAAAAGAGGAAAATCCAATATAGGGCTAGGGACGCAAACTCTCAGATCCATGGTAGATCGTAACTGGCGACGTCACTGTAGGGGATTCGAATATTCCCGAGCAAACCGCGCAGCCGGCAAGAGATTTCCGCGGCTTCCCATAGTCGGATATTCCTTAAATTCCAGAAAAGAGGGACAGAGAAACCCGCGAGAAGCAAAGCAATACTTCCAGGAAAATCCTTTTGCTTTGCGTAAGATCGCTCCTACCGAAATTGCGGCTCACGTCATCCTCACCTTCGACTTGGGCTCAAACGACGAGCCCAAAAGCCGAAGGAAGATGCTCCGCTCCCGGAGGAGGAATACACTCAATATCGAGTGAATTATCCAGACTCCGGAATATTCATCGTTCCCGATCAGAGTAAATCGTCCGGACTCCGGAATATTCATCGTTCCCGATCAAAGCTCTGGAGGAGACAGCTCAGCTGACTGAGCCGTCGCCACAGGAACATAGCATTCGCCGCAGAGCTCCCTCCGACCGAGTGCGGTCGGACGGAGCGTTCGGGCAACGCTTGCAGTCGAAGCGTGGATCAGCTGATCAGCCTCAGCAAAGATATCCCGTCCATGAGCTCGGTGGGATGCTCGCGGTGGCTACAGCAGAATCGAGTCTCGCACTCTCTGAAACCAGTTTTATGGTTCGTCGAATGGTTCGCAATGAATTATTGGAGTAGCGACCCGGTGTGAAACCCTCGAACAGGCTCTCGCTCCGGATCATCATCATCCCCATGGAACTACCACCGACAGACAGAGTCTACCAGGCGGCTCGGCAGCTAGCTGCTAGGCAGCAGCGGCGAAGCGGTCGAAGAGCCGACAAGACAAAATTTTCAGAGAGGGTGGCGAGCAAACGAACCCTCACGATATTCTATGGACAGTTCGGAAGCTTTGGGAATGCTGAACCCGATCACTCGACTCGGCTCGAGCTCGAGCGCTAGCTGGAGCGTTCCGTGCCTGCGTCCGAAGACCGAAATCGACAAAGTTCACAAGTTTCGAACGCTAAACGTCACTCGGAGCTCGTAGAAGCAGACGCAACGGCCGACATCTTGGATTTTCACCTCTGCACCCCTTTCGAAGCACATCTGCATCTGGGTCGTATTGCAGCTTGATTTCCAATGAATTTGAGCGATTTCAGCCCCGACGTACCTTGTGGAGGGCCATAGGAGCTCCAGGGATCGATACGGATAGAGTTCAATAACTTCTACGTATCGTAACTACGGGCCCGAGCACTTTCAGGGCTCAGCCCTAATCGACGTATCCAGGTTAGACAGTTTTGCGAAGCATTTTCAAACACAACACTCTCGAACTGCACTCGGAACGATCACCGACGTCGAACGAAGTCTTCCGAGCGGCGAGATCGCGGAAATCCTGCTACTTTCCGACACAAGACATAGCTCAAACCGTCAGGATGGTTCCGTCGACACTGGGACGAAGCTTGACTTTGCTCCGTTCTCGCTGTTAGAAGCAGTCGTCGATCGAGCGGCCGGCCACATTAGATGGCGCTCCGGTCGCCGGAGTCGCCTGGTCCGCCCAAAGGTGGGGCCTCATAATAGCGCTCATCAACCTCACAATGAATTGTTGCTGAATAACAAACAACTTTTTGCGAGGAATTTATAATCGGCATAATCCGCAACATACAGTGGATGCTCTCGCACGATGGTGCGGCGCCCGGACCATCAGAGGGAAAACTTCGTTTATTCCTTGAGTTCTACCGATTACTGAGTCCCCGCAAAAACGACAGTGGGGACATCGACATCAAAAACCAACCATTATCTGGTATTCTGAAATCGAAAGCCATAATCCTCTATCGGTGAGCTCTACCACAGAACATGAAATCGAGTAGAGGAGTCAACGACACCGATCGCGCGGAGTGAAGAAATTGCTCCACCGGCTCTCTGGATCGCTCCGGGCCGTGGCAATTGCCGTGACGACGGACACCGCTCCTAAAATCACCGGAACTCACGAGCGGCCAGTGTTCCTTCCGAAGCGGGACATTCATACGGTAGCCTTACCATCGCGCTTCCTCCGGGAACTACGGACCCGATCGCGTAAGGACCTGAATAGCTCCAGGTAAGAATGCGCGCGCGCGCCCAGTCGCGGAACGCGTGTCAACCAGCAGCAGGGCGCGCGGCGCGACGCAATGACTAGCCGTGGAATCGTCCTCGGTGTTCCTAGTCTTCTAGGCTGTGAACGGAACAATTTCTCGAGCGGACGCTCAACGAATCGGGAACCTCCTTCCTCGCACCACGCGAAGCGGACCTCAGTTGGCGTTCCGGACAGGGCGGCCTTGTTGTGAGCTGCACCGTAACCTTCGTATCGCGATATCTGCCATCGACAATAATTATCGATGATCGCTGCACGTTTTAGGCTCTAGCGAGGGAGCGGGAACCTTGTCCTAGCGACAAACCGATCGGACACGGCTCCGCTGTACAGGAGCTCTGCGTGGAACGGCGATCGCTGAGCTGGATAAGGAGCTGCTTGCAGGACAACGACCCGTCCCGGCGTCGGGTCAGGACGTCGGAAGCCTCTAAAGGAAAGGAAAGTTTCCCCGAAGGATCGACGGAGTGAAAATCCGTCGACCGACGCCGACGTGAGGACTCAGGGCGCATCTCCCCGCTTCACGCCAAACGCGCGATACGCCGATGAAGAGCTCGACCGGACGCTGTAGAGTCTCGAGGGAAGAGCACCGAGAAACGATTCGGCGGCCGCTGCGATCCGCCGAAGTTTCCGGAAAATCCGGAATCCCGATCGCGCGAACCCTTACCGAGTTTGCCTCTAGCGTTGATCCTGCTCAAAGAGAATCGATATCGGTGAGCGAGGATACAACGTGAACGACCGCGGCGACGACCATGTTGCGTGACGGAGCCCGGAAACTCGACCGTCCTGGTCGAGCGCAAGCCTGACAAACGATTCTTTTCCCGTCGACGAGAGCTCAAACTCGATTGTGTTCGCTCGAAGCGAAATCGCGGCAAGTCGGATCGAAGATTTCGTTAGGAACACGATATGGCGGAACAACGTCGATCGTTCGGAATGCAGACTATCGGCGCATTCTATGAATGCGAGGTAAAATCTTTTAACACTCGATTAGGATCGGACGCGTCCTCTCGCGAGGGAATGATCGCCGCGACACATGTCGCTCCCGCGTACGTATGCGTGTAATGTGTCGGATCGTATTGGATGGAGATCGATCCGCATATGATTAGCTGAGGGGGCGTGAAGCGACCATTTTCGGGAGCGAATCGGCATCGAACGCGTGTTATCGCCCCGGCCGATCGTTTCGAGGAGGGATGATTCCGCCGAACGCCGTCGCGGTGACTGATTGATGACCGATGCGTTGAAGCATGCGTGAGGGAGGAACTCCATCGCTAGAAATCGAAGGGATTGCGATGAGCGCGGAAGGAATATACGGGCCGCGCATTTTTCATCCAACTCAGGCTCGAACCCCCCTAAGTGCCGCTTCAGCGCTACTGAGCCCGTCGATGGAACTGTTGATGATTGAAGGCTCATCGTGTACCCGGGAGTTACACGTCGTGATTGATGGAGTGATGCGCCGCTTGATTGATGTGTGTACCGTCTTCGAAGAGTTGCTCCGCGACTGATGATCCTGACTGACATACGGCGCAGGCTGACAAGTTGACAGCGGCCGGTACGATCTGCGAAGAGGCGCGTCACACTTTTTGACACTCTTCCAGAAACGCAACCGCCGGAAATGATACGTTACGCTCAAACGTTCCTGACGAGTCTCTCCAGTGATATTCAAGCAGCGAGCGCGGAAAGACGAATGAGTTGATTTGCCTTGTAGGTGGAGACAGACAGAAGAAACGTTTCCTGACGGGGATACGTGAGATCCGCTTGCCTCGCGCAAATGAGAGAAAAAGTACCTGTCGCCACCGCCGCTGCCGAGGAATCTTTTCGAGCTGTTTGCGAGTTCTCACCCGCGACCGGTGACGAAACCTTGGGAGGCTCCGTCACTGTTCGGCGACCTCCTTCAAACTTCATAATCAAGTGCGCCTCGAGAACCTTGAGATCGCGATCAGGGGCCGAACCCCGTGTGGCCTCAAGGATGGCAGCTGGTGCGATCTCGTTGTTGGGGTTTTCATTTCACTGGAGCGTCACATCGAAAGCGCTTAACTATCAGCTCGAACTTCGCCTAATGGGTGGGTGAATGGGAGCGAGAATTCATTGACGCGATCCAAACGATCGAGACTCTGATTTCCGGAAACACTTCGGCTGATTCGTTTATTCTCGGCGAGGGGAGTTTCTGTCGAGCACTGGAGTTCTTTCGGAATTGCGATGGATGGGATCTCATTCGATTAGTGTTTCTCAGTGGCCTAAACTCCGCTTGGATTTTCGCCATGGGCTGGAATTTCTTCATGATGCGGTCCCCCGGGCCTGGAGGCTTTCGGTCCGACGTCATCCGAACGAGAGTTTCAGGTGGCGAAACGGATGGAATTCCGAAACGTGGTGTCCTGGTGGCCGTTCCGCTCTGTTGGATAGCTTCCTTGCTACCTAGCTGACTGTCTTACTGATGGCCTGAATGAATGACTGACTGACTGTCGGATTGACTGACTGACTGCTTGGCAGATCGCTCGCTCGTTCGAAAAGCTTACGGCTTCCCCTACTGGCTGGCTGAACTGCTGTTTGTCGCTCACGCCCGGCAGATGGGGCAAACGCTCCGCGACAGATGCATCGGAGCTCTCCTCATCATCATTTATATAATTCGACGTTGATTCTCGTGGAGCGGATCGACACTCCGAATGCGCGGACGGCCATGAATTCAGCAACGAGTCTAGAAACCATTCATGTAGATGCTCAACATTGGCTATTTCCCCCCACCTA